AAGCACCTGTCCAGAGGGGGTGGAAATGCAGAGCAGTAAGGTCGGGGGCATGAAGGGCAAAAACAGAAGAGTACAGCAGTTAGCAGGAAACAGACCAGTGACAGTGGAAAATACAGCATTGGTAATAACACAAACATTCTGGCATTGGTAAGTCAATTAGCACCAGTTGATGAAAAAATACATTCACACTCCCACCACTAACAGTTTCAAAGTTGACAGGAACAGCATCTTCCATCCATTAACTGCCTGTTCTCAGCATCTGTTACTCCAAGATAAACCGTTCAAGAGACTTGATATATCACATCAATGGAAAGAGAAGCTGATGAGACTTTCTTTTGGTCACTTGGATGAAAGGGTAATGAAGCAAAAATGTTAGCCAATAGGAACTGATGCCTCTTCTGTGTCCTTAAAATGTCACAGGGAGCTGAATGGATGATTAGCTCTAATATGTGCTCTGTTACCCTTTCAATATTCATGGCCTATCATAGAAAAGAAATATGCAAGCTTCATCTACATAAGTTCATTTCAATTTGCTGGATTACACTTGTTACAACTGCGTTATAAACCAGACATTTTATTCTGGAAGCTCTGTTGGTGACAGTTATATATCGGGTCTGGAAACACTATGAAACCCCCACCAGTCTTTAATTTTCACAAGTCAAATGTTGAAATTCAGCAGAAATCGATGGATTTCAATTACAAGTTGAATCAACAAAAGAATCTATTGCCAGCCATAAGAGTCAAAGATCTGAGCTGCCCATGTGTTTGACTGTGAGGAATGTCCCTCAAGAAAAGAACTGAAATCTAGTCGTATGTGGTGGTGGTAAGGGACCATTTTTCCATGATGTTGGGTTTCTTTAATATTGTGCTGGTCCTGCTGCAATGCAGGATGGTCCTGGTGGATATGAAGGCAGTACAAAGAAACAGCTGGGCTGAATTATCTTTGCAGCTGGTGTGACAGGCAAGAGCCACAGTGTCCTCTAGTGGTTGTGAGTTCCAATTAACACAGGAGACTGACTTATAGCAGGCCAGCCCATTGGTCAGCCACATATTAGCTACTCTGACCAGCTGCAAGGCTGCCTGGCAGAGGGTCATTCTACCTGCAGAACATTTACTCTACCACTGAGCTCTCTGCTGCCTTTCCCAGCATCTCACAGGAGAGTTTACAAAGCTGCTTGAACATTCAGGAATAGTTCCTTATCTGTTTTTGGAAAGGGCTAGGGGTAATGACAAGAGTTTTCTTGGCTTTGCTTTACTAGCTGTACAACTCCACTGAATTTGTGCTGTTTGTGAGCAGCAGTTCACTCTGTGCGACATATTAGGGCATGCCATTTTAGGGGGTGAAACGTAGTTTTTGCCATTTACTTCAGTGAGGAATCTTAAAAACATGTTTTTTGGTGTGAGGAATTCAAATATGCTCTAAGTTTTGTGGTCGGACAACACTCAGCTTGGTCAAGGTTTGATGAAGGAGCACATGAACTGCTTTCAGCTTCTGAAAATGTCAGGGAATGCTAAATAATAGTAATAAGAAATAAGAAATAATATTGACATATAATATAACTGCAAGTGCTAGGCAATCATTTTTAATGATTTCTATGCAATTTTACAGGGACGCGGGTGGCGCTGTGGGTAAAACCTCAGCGCCTAGGACTTGCCGATCGTCAGGTTGGTGGTTCGAATCCCCGTGACGGGGTGAGCTCCCGTTGCTCGGTCCCAGCGCCTGCCAACCTAGCAGTTCGAAAGCACCCCCGGGTGCAAGTAGATAAATAGGTACTGCTTACTAGCCGGAAGGTAAACAGCATTTCCGTGTGCTGCGCTGGCTCACCAGATGCAGCTTTGTCACGCTGGCCACATGACCCGGAAGTGTCTGCGGACAGCGCTGGCCCCTGGCCTCTTAAGCGAGATGGGCACGCAACCCCAGAGTCGGACATGACTGGCCCATCGTGGCCCTTTACCTTTATGCAATTTTATGCATGCCTTACTTACCAAGCAAAACTAAATTATATTAATTTAACCAGAATAACTTTTGAATTCCCAAGTCACGTTACAACTTTTTAGCACTGCTCATTTTTTAAATTTGAAGGTCGAAAAATTCCGTCAAAATGCCCTAATGTTAAATGCAGGAGATGTGTAGGGCTGAGTCTCAGCTTCATGCATGCCTCTGACCTGGGTTGTATACCCTAACCACACAACCAGCTCATCTGTTATCATTTATTTTCTTTATACAAGTTACATACCAGTTATTATAAAAAAGCTCCCTCTGCTATCCTCATGTGACCTCCTGCACCTCACGCCCATCTGCCTCAAGGGGTTAGAGAAATAGATCTGGATGGTGGCACAGGCTCACACCTGATTATCTTGCAATGTTCTACCACGGTTTACTGTTATATTCAAACAGGACTGCTAAACTACTTAAAGTCTGCAGCATAGTTATACTCTAATGTGCAAACCTGAATGTTCTGTTTAATTGAAAGAAGCAAGGGATAAATCACTAAGAGGAGGTGAAAGGTATCAAAAGGCCACATCCATCTAGGTTCAGAATTAGGTTAGTGCAAAAAGATATTATGCAACCAACATGGAGAACTCTGCTGTTCTAGTGATGCCCAGCTGCAATGCCAGCATCGCCATGTGCAGTGCATAGGAACCAACTCCCTGGACCCCCGCAAAGTTGATGGGCATTCCCATTCAAATGATGTGTGTGCACTGTGTCATGTGATAAATTATGTGTGGCAGGGCTTTCCTGGGCCCACAAAATACTTTATTCAAGTTGGCATCCTTGGCGCAGTACTGGGTTTCCCAATAAGCAGACTAAGCACTTGCTTAGCGCACCTACAAAATGGGGGCACCAAAAAGGAGATTTTTAAAAATAGAATTTAACATTTGATATTTCAAAAACAACAACACTGAAGTAGTCATCAAAAACAGAACTTTGTGAGACTTCTTTACACCCCATTCCCTCTTCTTTCCCTGCTGTTCTAATTACTTTTAATTACTTATCCCTACCTAAACCAGCAGGCACCCTGAGTGGTGCTGCCATTGAAAGGTGTCTAAGCCTTGCTGCTAACAATGTTAAAGTACACATAATATACAAATACAATATTTTTAATGTAATATAGTAGTAGGAAGATAATTTGAGCAGCCAAATTTGGAGTCCAGTGCTGCTTGATAATGTTTTGTTTCTTTTGAAATGTTCACAGCAGCAGCAGAAAAGGGCAGATGAAATTACCAATGGAAATTCTTCAATGTAAATTGATGCCACCCCAGGAAAGTCTGCTTTGACGGTGTTACCAGTTCTTCTTCAAGCATAGTTTCTAACAGTCCTTGGCAGTAGATACCTGCAGCTCTGAGTGTGCAAGTTCTGTTTATTTGTTTGCTTGCTTACTTGCTTTAAAAGGATCAGCCTCCTACAATGGAAGAACAAGGCAGCGACAGACCTGCTAATCCTGAAGATGAATTAAGTGTAAGTAAGTAAACTTTAAATGCATTGCAATGTTGTGCCTGGTTGAAATAACAATGTGTTCTGTTTATCATATACTTGCTGAGCCCATGAATTATGAAGGCGATATCAGGGAGTTAACTGGCGCTGTCAATGCTGTAGCTGATTTTAACTGGGTTTTTTGGGTGAAATATGATGTGCATTTATTTACATGCAATTGATAGGGCACGAGATCAGCCCTTGAGAGCTGATGGCAGGAGATCAGAAGGCGGAGTGAAGTTCTGTTAAAACTTATTTCATTCCTGGGTGCAATTTTTCAAAAACAAATCAATTAATTATACAGCATATCTAAATATAGTTTGCATTCAGCTAGTTGGCATAGTAACTGTTATCCTGGACTGCTGACAGGTGGTTAAAAGGAAGAGGAGGACTTAAATAATTCAGTGTTCTGTGATACTTAAATTGCTTTATTAATGGGAATGAATTCTACAATGCATAATCAGAGGTGGCACAAGCGAGGTGGCGGGGAGACACATTGTTCTTTAACCGATTAAAGGAATAATTTGAGATACTTAAATTGTAGCAGTCAGCTATGAAATTTGCTGCTCTGGATGAAGTAACCGTGCTGAAAATGCACTGTTCTGCTGTTGGCGTCTGACCAAATAGTATGATGGAAGGAAAAGCAAGGAAGTTCAAAAGAGTTTATAGTCCCTGTGAAATATTTAAAGGGAGAAAGGGTTGACCAGGAAAAATGTGAAACCCTGTTAATATGATTTGATTTATATCCTGCCCTTCTTCACAAAGAAGCACAGGACACTTTGGATATGAGAGATGGCCCTTTTTGAACTGAGTGTTTCAATAGCAAAAGGTGATTCTTTGATGGCTACTGATAGCTGGAAAATTGAGCAGTAATGACAGTTGATGTCTGGTGGCTGCTATGTACTGACTCCACCTCACCTGCTTGGGCGGGAGAGAAACGTTTTGTGCTGTAGCCAGCAAAGTAAAGGGAGGGGGAAGCAGATGTGGCATTATTTGCACGGATTTATAAAATTATTATTATTATTATTAGTAGTAGTAGTAGTAGTAGTAGTAGTAGTATTTACAAATTGTAGGTAGCAACCTTAGTGCTGCATATGTAGGGTGCTTCAAGCCTATCACTTCACCAGATTCCAGATTGTCACCTCTGCTGATTGTGTTGAAATTATTTGCTGCTGGTATGTTATTTTATATAGTGCACCAAGGACACAGTAGTAAAATAATAAACAGACCACGAGAACAGTTTTAGGAGTGTATGGTGGTCCTAACTGAAAAGTAACACTCATTGAAATTTACATTTGTGTAAGCATACCGGGATTGTGTGTGATATCACAACTGCTGTAGCATTTTGATGAAGCAATAGAGCACTGAAGAGTCACTCATGACCACACCGACGGCAGAAATGGCAGGCAAGGCATGCCTTTCAAGTGCGGAATGAATATGTTTGCCTTTGGGAAATGCTGAATTGAGAGATACTGGACATTTATCTGTGTGATTCTTTCCCCCTCTTTGATTAAGGTATCAAATGTATCAGTACAAATGGCAGATTCAGAAGAAAAGTGGGAAAGAATTGCAAGGAAACTCAATAGGTCAGCAAAATCAAAGAGGAAAGCCAAAAGAAACAAGTCTCTCTGGAATTTTCAAAATAAAATCATCCTGTTTACAGTGGTCCTCTTCATTGTAGGTGTTATAACTTGGACATTGTTGTGGCTCTTTATTGGTGAGTAGCTGTATCTGCATTGTAGGCAATGCTTTATGAGGCCTTTCCCCATATTTACATTTGAAGAACACTCATAGATGTATAAACAATGCTCTAGAAAATCATTTTCTATTATGTTGCTTTTTATTGGCTCTAGAAAAGGGTTTTCTATTTACAATGGAAGCTGTTTTTCTCCTTCAGAATATATGTATGCCGGAATGTCAGTTAAAAGAGAATCCTAGCAGCATCTTGGAAAACCTGTCCCACAGAGCCCAACATTTAACTAGATATAGGAGAGTAGTCTGGATGAGAATTTGGTTCTATAGGGTGTGCACCCACAGCACCAAAGTGAGAGGAAGGTCTCCATTAGCTATTCTTCTTAATGAATTGTCCTCCACCATAACCAACCAAAACCCAAATTTGTGTGTGTGCTTTATGTGATTTTCTATAAATGCATTTCTTCCTTGTTTTGCTTCATGATTGAGAATGGGCTATTGCATTATTTTTCTGGCTCTATAGTGAAAAACTTTTTAAAGGGCAAAATGCTAATATATTATTATGTAGTGAAATTCCAACATACTAAGGAAAACCTGGTTATCATGTGAGGGTCTATTGGCTAGTGTCTGTGCTCTTGACAAGATACTTTCCACAAAGCAGTTTACTCGTTTTTAAAGTAAGTGTTCATTATATGTAAGAATGGACACACACATGACTAGATATATGTTGCTTTAATATTTTTAAAGTAGTAAAGGTAAAGGTACCCCTGCCCGTACGGGCCAGTCTTGCCAGACTCTAGGGTTGTGCGCTCATCTCACTCTATAGGTCAGGAGCCAGCGCTGTCCGCAGACACTTCCGGGTCACGTGGCCAGCGTGACAAGCTGCATCTGGCGAGCCAGTGCAGCACACGGAAACGCCGTTTACCTTCCCGCTAATAAGCGGTCCCTATTTATCTACTTGCACCCGGAGGTGCTTTCGAACTGCTAGGTTGGCAGGCGCTGAGACCGAACGACGGGAGCGCACCCCGCCACGGGGATTCAAACCGCCGACCTTTTGATCGGCAAGTCCTAGGCGCTGAGGCTTTAACCCACAGCGCCACCCGCGTCCCATTTTAAAGTAGTACTTAGTCCAAAAGATAAGGTGACGCACATGACTGATTACTGATCTACTATTCAGATTGCAGGACTGTGTGCAAGACTGCACATGTGCTACCTGGTTGGTGTTGACCCATATCAGAGCCTTCTTGGTAGCAGTTCTCCATCTGTGAGATGCTTTCCCTGGTGAGGTGTATCTGTCTCCCTCATTATTAACATTAAGGAAAGTTTGAAAAACACTCCTGTTCATCCAAGTGTTTGATGGCTGAAAGATACTATTCCTGGCAACCTTGACATTATTATCATTAGCTATTTGGATACGTTACTATTTTAAACTTTGAAAAATGTATTGTTTTGATGCTTTGTTGTGCTCTTTTTATTGCCATAATGAAAAAAGGAAAAATAAAAATAACACTCACCTTTTTTGTTTTACAGTTCAGGCAGAAAACAAAGATGCACTGTATTTTGTTGGATTATTTCGTGTTGCCAACATTGAGTTTCTCCCAGAGTATCGGCAGAAGGAATCCAGGGAGTTTCTCTCTGTTGCACAGAATGTGCAGCAAGTGGTAAGGAAAAAATAGCAACCCTTGTGTTCCACATTATCTCCAAAGCATATGCAATAATCAGCTGGTTGTGTGGACCCAGCAATCCTTGTCTTTTGTAGTGTGTCAATAAAGGGAGATAACACATTCTGGAATTTTCTCTCTGTGTCGTATTTGCAGTACCATAGAAAGATTACTGCTGGATCAGGATGAAGGCTCACCTAGTCCAGCATCCTGTTCTCACAGTGGCCTGCAACAGAACTCTCCCTGCTGGCGTTTCCTAGCAACTGGTATTCAGAGTAATACTGTCTCTGGCCGTGGAGGTAGAACATAGTCATCATGGCTTGTAGACACTGTTTGCCTTATCCTCCATGGATTTGTCTATTCCTCTTTTATAGCCAAGTTGATGGCCATCACTACAATGCCACAATGTCATGTAGTCTTCCCAGGGAAAACAGAGAGAGAGAGAGAGAGAGAGAGAGGGAAGGAGGGAGGGAGGGAAGGAGGGAGGGAGGGAATAATAGAATCATAGAAGTGTAGAGTGGACCCCGAGGGTCACCAATCCAACCCTTTGCTAAGCAGGAATCTCAACTAAAGAATCCAGGACAGATGGCCCTCCAACCTCTGCTTTAAAACCTCCAAGGAAGGAGACTCTAAAAAGTTTCAAGTGAGTCCATTCCACTGTCAAACAGATCTTACCACTAGAAAGATCTTCCTCATGTTGAGTCATAATCTCCTTTCTTGTAACGTGAATCCATTGGTTTGGGTCTTCATCTCCAGAGGATGAGATAATAAGCTTCTTCCACCCTCCATGTGACAGTCCTTTAGATATTTGAAGATGACTATCCTATCTCCTCTCAGTCTCTTAGCCAGGCTAAACGTACCCAACTCCCTCAACTGTTCCTCATAAGGCTTGGTTTCCAAACCCTTGATTGTCTTGGTCACCCTCCTCTGTGCATGGCAAGGATTGTCAATAGCCTTCTTAAATTGTGGTACTCTGAACTGGACACAGTACTCCAGGTGTGGTAGACCAACACACATATGCAGATAATGAATCCCCCTTATACTGAGTCAGACCATTGGTCCACCCAGCTCAGTATTGTCTACACAGATTAGTGGCAGCTGTCCAGGATTTCAGGCAGGAGTCTCTGCTAACCCTCCCTGGAGATGCCAAGGATTGAACTTTGGACCTTCTGAATGCAAAGCAGATGCCCAACCACTGAGCTGCAGCCCTAATGTGGCTTCTTGAAGGAGTATGCAGCTTTCAAAAAACTAAATTCAATAGAAAGAGGGAAGTGGAAGGGCACTGCTGATGGGCGGGGGTTCAATAGTTGTTGGAATTTGGTACATTCTCTCCAATAATGAGTGCTTGAAATGGTGCAAAGGAGAGCAAAGGCATGAGTCTCAGTCTTTAATGAATATGCTTAAAATACAAGATGTGTCTGTGTGCATGAGTTATGCTGCACAATCACTATCCAGTAGGTCCCATGCAACTTGTACAGCCACATCCCCAAAATAAATGGGTCTTGGTGGGCTGGATGGCTCAAAACTAACTTACCAAACTTTCAGCACTGTTCATTGTATTTCCCCTTTCTCTTAACTCACTGTCTCTGTTATTTACTGATTATTCACTGTGCACTGGAATACCAGCCAAGAGCTGGAAGAAAAACATGATTCCCAGGGAAGCACCACTTCCCAAGGATTCCTTATGCTTTACATTGAAGATGCACCTGTTTACATAGGCATTCCCTCAGTCTCTCAATCTGAGTCTTCTGATTTACTGTAATCATGGTGCTTTCTTGATAGAATTGTTTTACTGCATATTATATAGATGTGCATATTTTAATTTTTAATGAGATTGATTTATTGCATAGGTAAATATGGATGCTTATATTTTAATGTTTGCATGACTGGGTGGGATTATTTTGTGTAATCTTGCTTAGAAGTCTATATTGGCATTAATATGAATAATGCAGTCAACAACTTAAATAACATATCATAAAGGTACCATAAATCTCCTATACTCCCTTCTTCAAAGCTGAGAATGATATCCTTGTTATAAATAAACAGGGCTGCTGAATCTGCTGTACTGCATATCAGGCAACTCTCAGGGTGCTTCCAGACTTTCGCTATTTTTGGGGCAGGATTCAATCACATACAGACAAATTCAGGTTGCACAATTAAAGTTGATTTGAAGGTCTTGCATAACCTATTTCCTTCCCCTAAAGATCAACTCTTTTGTGATAAGAAAAGGAATGGGGGAATGTACCAGAAACTGTGGGGGTAACACCTCCTTGACACAACATTGTCTAACCTCCCCACAAAGAAATCAGAATAAATGCTCATTAAACAGCCAACATTGTCTAATTGCCCTGCAAAGAAATCAGGATGAATACTCAATAAGCCAGTGATCTGGAAGTGCCCTCAGCAAGATTAATTTTAATTTAGTCTGTGTGGGATTGCCCAACCATTCTGTGCATCTTCTCTTTCAGATGAACTTGGTATATACCAAATCTGCTTTCTCCAAATTCTATAAGCAATCCATTGTCTCAGATGTCAGGTGGGACATATTTTCCATTTCATTTGTGGCTGGGGGTCTTAGCGAGAAATAATGTCGTGTTGCAGCATTTACTATCCGTGTACTGTCTCTTGTTGCAAACCAAAAGCCTCATCATATGTGACCAAATCCAAACACAGAAAGCACTCCCATGTCCCATAAAGTATCTTACATTTAAAAAATGTTGGTACATTAAAAACAACAACAGCAACAACAACAATGATGAGAAAAGCTATAGATTTTCAAGCACCTGAGTCTCAGAAACACCGTGATGTAATTTCCTTTTTCATTTGATTTCAGTAACAACAACAATGGGGGTCTTCTTGTCCATTTCTGGATTGTGTTTGTGGTGCCACAAGCTAAAGGGCAAGTGTTTTGTGAAGATTGTGTAGCTGCTATTTTAAAGGACTCAATTCAGACAAGCATCATCAATCGAACCTCAGTAGGGAGTCTTCAAGGCCTTGCTGTCGATATGGACTCCATTGTGCTTAGCGGTTGGTATCCCTTGGCAGTTGCTATTTTTCCTCTGAAGAAAGTGAACCTTCTGACACAATTAATAGCTTGCTGTACTGAAAAAAACTAGAATCCATAACTTTTGCCTCTGAAATAATCACCTCATGGAACTGGAAAAGCAGAATTGCTATGTGGAGATCTGAACTGGGCCTAATGGTACTAATCCAATTTTTCTCAACAGGGTGATGGTGATAATTGGATTTATATCCCTTTGTGTTTATCATCAGTTGATGCCATTTGTCATTGGAACGTCCTCCCTCCTAATGACTTTCTTATAGAATTCAATCCATTCATATAGGAATGTGCTCACGTGTCTGCTTTGATACCTTAATGTAGAGCTAGCCCTACATTAAGTAGAGTGAGGTGTCTACTTCAGACAGCTAGTTTTTGATAGGGTTGTGCACAGCGCCCCTGCCTGGCCTAATTTGGGCCTCCAGGATCAATCCAAACCAGGGAATCCTGCCCTGGTTTGTTCAGCCCCAAATAAATTAAAATACCCTCATTAAACATATGGCCAGGAGAAGCACTGGGGAAGGAGATGCTGTATCTCCACCCACTTAAACCAAGAGCATGGCGGTTCCCATCTGCAGGGTGCTGCTTTGCAAGTGGCTCTGCTAAGGGGAAGGAGCTTGTGAAGAAGCACCCTGAACCCCACAGGCTGGAATCCTCCACTCAACACACTGGAGAATTAATGTATTATTTTTACCACCAGGGAGAAGTGAGAGACGCTCCTGGGATTTTCAAGCTCAGGTGGTTGGCCTTGGGACTATTATCTTACCTTGCGGTGTGGGGGTGGGTGGGTGCTTTAAGCAATAAGAAATGTTTTTGGCCAACCCCATGTGGAGTTCCAGAGTGAAACCAGCTGACAGGATCCCGTATCCCTCTCCCTGCAAGTTCATTGCAATGCATTTTAAGTCTTTTCGTCTGAATAAAATCCTGGAAAACATCCTTTCGTGGTGGCTTCACAAATTCACACGAATCACTGTCATATCAATAGGTCCCTATTCTCAAGTTCCCAACTAACACTGCAATGCAGTGCAGTGCAGTTTCATATTGTGTGGTGGTTATATTCCGGAGATGGCGCTTATATGCAAAAAAGTGTATACTTCAACCAGCCCTTTGGAATTACCCAATGTGAGCATCCTTACCTTTCCAGAGTTGTATACCATGTCTGCCTTTCCTGTCCCCCAAGCAAGGCAGAGAGCTTTTACCAGGCTCTGGGATGCTCTCACAATATCTCGTGGGACTGTTCAAGCTCTAGCAAGATATCACAAGTGCATCCCAGAGCACAGTAAGTCTGAGAGTTTAAATGCTCTGAGGAATAGGTCAGTCAGTAGAGCATGGGACTCTAAACCTCAGGCTTGTGGATTGAAGCCTCACATTGGGTGAAAGATTCCTGCGTTGCAGGGATTTGGACTCGATGATCCTTCTGATCCCTTCCAACTATGCTTCTATGATTCTTTCTGCACTGAGAAAGTCCTGCACAGAAAGAACATTTAAGCTCTCTGCCTTCTCTGCATGTCATTTGTGTGATTACTACTGGCCAGACTTCAGCCACTTCATGTTGAAATCACACATGTTAAATGCATATATGTTGTGATCATACTGTATTACATTCATATGTTGCCCGCTGGTCTGTTTGTTTAAATATGTACAGAGACATTTGTATTTTCTCCTCCCATGCAGTTGGGCTTCGATCAGATTACTCTTCAACAACAGGAACAGGTACATGACTGAGTTTTTATACAACACATTTTCCCATTGAACACATTTCAAAATGGCAAACATATATTATGTGGTGAGAATTGAATCCTGCCTGTATCTGTATCACCTTCTACAATGTAAGCTTTGTACAAGGCTAAACATGGGATCTGTTGGGTAATTTAGCATTTAGATCATGCTTTTGAGTGTTCAAAGATGTCATTCTTACAACAACCTGAGAGGGAAATTAGTATTGGGAAATGCTCCCTGTTTCTCTGGGAGATAATGAGTTTCAGAAGGAGACACTACCATGGTTTGGGCTTCTTTAGAGGAAGGGTTTGTGATATTTCAAAAATATTTTGTTTGCAACTGTAGAAGTATAGAATCAGTAGGGACAATCAGTGTGTACACTGATACCAGACAGCAGAAGTGCAGCCCTCACATCAGATCTCCCAAGACCCCAAGATGCTCCTGATTTCACAGCTAGAGATGAGGGGGAAATTCACCTTCAAACCATTATGCAAACCTAAACACAGTTATTATTCAAAATTCACATTGCACATCTTTGATGTGGTTCTTCAAGCAAATAATGTGTACAGAAATGTGTTTATTAACAGGAAGTATAGATAAAAATGCATATATTCATGAGAATATATATAATATGCATTATATCAGGACAATTGTTTGCAAAAAGGGAGACATCTGCACTAAAATGCTGCCACATTTTAATGAGAGGTGTTTTTTTAAAAAAAGTAAATTGATGCAGAAATATGGAGAAATAAACTTAAGACTGGAAAAATGAGAAACTGAAATCGATAGATTTGGCCATTCCTGCTAGCAACTGCTTCTTCTAGGTCTGCTTCTTGCAATCTGAAAATGGCTTTTATTCCTTTGCTCACCCACTCTCCCACACATACATTCACACCACACATCTCTCTTCCTGTCTTTCCCTCTCCTCCTCCTGTCTCGTTGTTTCCAGATGACCTGTTTACTGAATATTCATTCTGATTGTTTGCACAACTTTGTGGGAATGCCAGCTCTTTACTGAGTGCTCGTTCTGGTTTGTGGGGAGCACTGCAGGCCCACATGTGAGGTAGTGGTTAAGAGTGGTAGACTCGTAATCTGGTGAGCTGGGTTCTTGTCTCTGCTCCTCCACATGCAGCTGCTGGGTGACCTTGGGCTAATCACACTTCTCTGAAGTCTCTCAGCCCCACTCACCTCACAGAGTGTTTGTTGTGGGGGAGGAAGGGGAAGGACAATGTTAGCCACTTTGGGAGTCCTTCGGTTAGTGATAAAGCAGGATATCAAATCCAAACTCTTCTCTCTCTCTCTCTCTCTCTCTCTCTCTCTCTCTCACACACACACACACACACACACACACACACAGCTCCTTTGGTGTCTTCCCCTCCAATGCATCTCCTGACTATTGAAGTAAGAGGCAGCTGCCAACCTGGTTTGCTTTTTGGAATGGGGAGATAGGCAGTGGTGTAGCGTGGGGGGTGCAGGGGGGGCCGGCCGCACCGGGTGCAACATCTGGGGTTAGGACAAATCCATGGGTTAGGGGGTGCAAATCCACAGGTTAGGGGGCGCAAATTACTTGCCTTGCCCCGGGTGCTGACAACCCATGCTACGCCACTGGAGATAGGGAATATCTTATCCTTTGCCTCAGGCAGCAAAATGTCTTGGGCGGTTTCTCTGGGAAGGTTATATGATGTCACATCAAGCAATTATTATCTCACACTTTTCAGCACACTTTTTCCTGTCACTTTTCAAAAGTCCATTTTTTTAGAAAAGTGGCTGCAGCAGCATTAGGTGGGGTGAAGCCATTACCTCAGGTGACTAAATTCCGTGTGGGCACCTCATCTGCCCTGCAACCTCTGCCACCAATGTCTGGCGATATCTCTCTGAAATCACATGAAACTTGGTTTTAACATCTGCTTCTATTGGCATTTTTAATCTATATGATGTATTGTTTTTTGCAAACTGCTTAGATTGAGTGACATTTAAATCCAGTTAATGTTTGTTGTTTTTTTAATACAGTGGTACCTTGGTTCCAGAACGGCCTAGTTAATGAACAAATCGGCTCCTGAATGCCGCAAACCCAGTTTTGCAAACATTTTTGGGAAGCGAATGTCTGTTTCGGCTGTCGGCATTGTTTCCTGGACCAATCAGCCAATCAGAAGCCACGCCTTGGTTTTTGAACGTTTTGAACGTTTTGGAAGCCAAACGGACTTCCAGAATGGATTGAGTTCGAGAATTAAGTACCACTGTACATTGGGGGGGGGGGTTGAATAGAAAATTAAATGGACAAATCTGGTTGTAAATGTCAGTCGGATCAATTGATATTTTATCAGTGACATGTGAAAAATATTATCTTGTCTCTCCGTAAAGCTTAAGCATTGTCTTTTACCAAGCATTGTAATCTCCATGATACTAACCAACATTTACTGTAGGTTCAAGTTGCATATATGATCTGCATGCAGACCGGCTGCACCAGCACTTTCCATTGGACATTTCAACAGCATCTGGAAGGATGATCTGCTATTTCAAACTGATTGCATTGGTCGGCTACTTAATCCGCCTCTCCGTAGCATCCATTCAGATTGAAGCAGACAATTGCATCACTGATTCGTTGACCATTTATGACTCCCTGATGCCAATCAAAAGTAAGATACTGTATCGGTAGGTATGCCTTTTCAGTACAATTTCTTTGGTTTCTGCAAGCAGAAAAGAAGTTCATTTTTTAAAAATATACAAAAACGTGTATATTAAACTTGTCCATTGGCAGCCATTGTAGATTCCTTAGCATGGTATTGCTTGCTAGCAGTATGTTGCTCCTAACAGCAGTTTGCAGACCAACCTTTATGGGAAGACCCACAAAAGAGTGTGTTGCTGTAATCCCACCTCAATGTTATCAGTCCACCTGGGAGTCATTTGGAAGGAAGGGGAGGATAGATTGGGGCAGAGGTCCCAAAGGCATGTGACTGGCAAACATCTTGTCCACGTTATTGAATTGCATTAACTGATTGAAGCAGATGGGGCTTTGAACACCCCTATAGGATCTGCTGTGACAACAGTATAAAAGTCTAACATGAGTTTACCATCACAGTTACTGTGGCTTCCTTAAACTATTGGCTTGCCAAAGGGCCAAATCTAGCAACAAGGCTAATGATGCATTGTAATTCCCATACTTTCTACACATGAAGAAAAATCAATTCATTTTCAGAATTTGTGAACCAACCAATTCATTCCTGTCTTTCGTTTCTACAAATAATTTGATGCTGGTTACTCTGAAGTCCACGCAAGTGAAGAAAGTGAAGGAATTTCATGGGTACTTTGAGGTCATCCCACAAGAAAGTAAGTGTTCTCATTTGTTAAATGTGGAAACTCCAGCTGTAGACTCATCCTTAGTTAAGTTTTTCCCCCTACCATCAGAAACAGTACACATCCTACCTCAGATATGTGAGACATACCTGTCTGAATTTATGTTTTCTGTCACCTTTATAGCATTTCTCTCTTTCATCTTTTCCATGACCTGCCTAACTTCATCTCTTTTTACAACCAGTTGTTTGTTTGCTTGTTTCTCAATGTCTTCAGTCTCCAGGGCTGACCCAGCTGTATAAGTAATCCAAGTAATTGCATGGAAGGGCAGTTTATTCAGGTGCCATTGCAACAGCATATAATCTAAGAACTGCACCTCAGCATCTTCGGTGACCCTGCAAGGGATTCTGGGGTCTCAGATTCTGGGGTCTCATGCAGTGCAGCTCTGCAGCATGGAAAATGCCTTGCTGCCCTAACCATTTGCAGATACCACAACGTGAAACATCAGTTGCATTTTCATTATAGAAATAACCAGTATCCCTTTTACTCCATTATGCCAGCAGATGGAGTAGTTGTCAAATACACATATGACATGAGATTGTTGTTAGTTTCACTGCAACAAAGGAATATAGGAGGCTGCCTTGAATGAAGTCAAACCTCTGATTCATCTAGTTCAGTATTGTCTTCAGTGACTGACAGTGGCTCTCCAGGGTTTCAGACAGGGGACCTTCCTAGCCCTACCACAAACTGAATCTGGGATCTTCTGCATGTGAAGCAGGGACTCTGAGTGATGGCCCTTCCCAAACAATTAGGGGCATTTCAAAATAACAAAGGTCATTATGTCACTGGAACCAGGTATATGCTTTTCTTGTTGACATGCTTCCCCATTATGGGTCCTTGTGGTCCATTTCAACCCTTTTTTCTTTATCTGTCACATCTTTTCCAATAGGGACAATAGGGATAGTTGTTGGGTCAGTGGGACAGACTGGGGGTGCTGTTGGTTAACTACCCACCCAGTTGCCCAATGACCACCTTAACCAAGCTGTTGGAGGTGGTCTCCATGATTATAGTTCTGCATGACTTCAATATTCATGCCAAGGCTGCTATCTTTAGTTCATCTTGGGACTTCATAGCCTCCATGACAATCAGGGGGCAGAACAACACAAAGCAGGCGTGCACTAAACTTAGTCCTCACTTTAGGGCAAGTGCTGGAGTAGATGTTGGAGGGATGGAATTGATCTTTTTGTCATGGTTAGATCCCTAGTAAAGTTTGGGCTTGCAGCATCAGTATACCCCCATAGGGGTGGAGGACCAATTCAGATGGTCTCAGAGACTTACAGAATCTGATCTGGGGGATTTTCCAGTAACCATATCTGGTTATTCTTTTGAAGACCTAACTTCACTGTGGAATACTGAGATGGGGAAGGACAATTAACACTAAATCCACAGAGCGCCCCATCTGACACTGCAAAGCTTGCTGTGTTCCTTGGTTTCCCCCAGAACTACAAGCAATGAAGCAGGTGGATGATGGCCAGAGCAGAAGTGGTGCAACTTCTGGTGTGAAGCCAACCACACAGTGGTTAGGAAGCACAACCACATGCACTATGAAGTGAAGCGACGATGGTAGCAAAAGAGACCTACGTCTCCATCATGTCCTCAAGGAGTCCTCCATGTGATGAAAAAGCTGATATTGCTTGCCCTGGTTAATTTTTATGCACCTTGTTTTGTGTCTGCTGTTTACTATGTTTTGCCTTGTTTTCATTGTTCACCGCCCTGAAACATACATAAAAAGGCAGGACAGAAATCCTAAAACAAACAAAGTATTACTTAAAAAGAAGAAAGCCATACTGGAAGTAACGACTTCTTCTTTTGGCTGATTCTTGGTTTCCAGATTGTGCAATAATATGGAAATGCATCTTTCTTTTCTCAGAATGCGGCAAAGCTATACTGGCATTGGGAAGTCCTCGGTTTGAAGGGAGAATCATGAGTCCTTATTACCCAAGTTACTACCCTCCAAAATGCATTTGCACATGGAGTTTCCAGGTAATTTTGAAACCCCATTGTGCAGGTGTTTCGCAACTGCCCTTTGGTGTGTTTCGTGTCAGTTGGAAACAGGGCTCTCTGTCTGTCAGTCTCTCTTTGCAAGATTCTGAGCCCTTTGATCTCAGCACAAAGCTTGGATCTCGATCTCTCTCTTTGTGGGTCAAGTAGCTGTAGTGGGAGATGAAAGGTTCCCTTGTGAGGCGATGGAAAGCTGCACTTCCTCTTGGCCACTGCCAGTCTGACCTCTTTCCCAAGGCTCTGAGGAGCTGGCATCTGAGCTGCTGCAAGTGCTGTTGCTCCCTGTAGCCTGGCACAGGGGAAAACAAAAAGTGCTACTGCTGTGATGAGGACCCTGTGGTCAGTTTTGAACCAGCAGCATGTTAGTGCTTAAACCTGGGTGTCAATGCTCAGATCTGGAAGCCCTCATTCACAGCTGTATCAGACCTTGATGTGGCTACTCAGTGGGGAGTATGAAGTTACAGGGAACCAGGCAGAGGGCCTTCTCGGTAGTGGCGCCCACCCTGTGGAACGCCCTCCCATCAGATGTCAAAGAAATAAACAATTATTCTGACGTTTAGAAGGCTTCTGAAGGCAGCCCTGTTTAGGGAAGTTTTTAATGACTGATGTTTATTCAATGTATTTTTAATCTTTTGTTGGAAGCTGCCCAGAGTGTCTAGGGAAACCCAGGCAGATGGGCAGGGTATAAATAATATATTATTATTATTATTATTATTATTATTATTATTATTAATCATAAGCAGGCTCCTGCTGGATCAGGATAATGACCCATCCAGTCCAGCATCCTGTTCTCACAGTTGCCAACCAAGTGTATACAGGAAACCTACAAGCCAACAGTGGAGGCCACACATGCCAGCATCTGAGTGAGAATGGTGGCACAGTGTGTGATGCCGCATGCATGACATTCTGACATTGTACATGTGATAAAACAACAACAAACCTCTGGTTACATGAAACATATTCAATAAACACACAAGACGTAACCGGTTGTACCTTTGAAAAAATATGATATACTATTCATTGTATTGAATTGTAGATTTCAACAGAAGTAGCTCATAAAGTTCAACGAAAAATGTAATCAATTTATGCATAAGGTCCATATATGTGAAAGTGTCTATTCCACCTGTCTGTTCATAAAGTCCAACAATCCACACAAAAGGTTGTTACAGTTCCACAGAATCCTTTCACAGAGTCTAAGACAAGGCTTTCCAGAATATTAGCCAGGACAGTGGATCTTATAGCATAGTAGTAGTGATATCATATATGAGTTTGTACTACTGATGAAGCCCAGGACGGCAAAACAAGGCATAAATTGATTAGTGAATGAACTGATCCACTGGGTCTTCTACATTTTCGTTGAACTTTATGAGCTACTTCTCTTGAAATCTACAATTCAATACATCGAATAGTATATCTTATTTTTTCAAAGGTACAGCCGGTTACGTCTTGTGTGTTTATTGTACGTGTGATGTCATGACATCAGAGGAAGTGAAGCCTAGCACAGCAGCAGCACATTAGCAGCACAGCTTCAAGGGCCATGGCTTCTCCTGCTCCTTCTCCTGCTGTCACCACCAGCCTGGAGCTGCTTCCAAACGCCTTCCCGTCCGCAGGAGGAGGAGGAGGAGGAGGAGAAGGAGGAGTCAGAGCATTGAGGCTGCATCCTGCTCAGCTCTGTGCTCGGCCTCATTGGGAGGCCTTTTGGAGGGCTCGGTCCCCTCCCCCAAATATTTTGGTGCCCAAAAGGGCTCAGCCCTCAGGAGACAGTGCCCCTGGTGGAGGTAGAACATTATTCCCCATGAACTTCTTTAACTTTATTATAAAGCCATCCAAGTTGGGAGCCATTAATACATATTGAGGGAGAAAATTCCTTAGTAGACATTTGGTGCCTAGTTTGTCAGAGCCTCCACCCAAAGCATACTGCAGTAATAGCCGGGTGATTTTTCTCGAGGTAGCAAACGTTAGCACACATTTAACCTACCGAAGAATGTGGCTCTCATCAGATGTGTTTCCATCTTTATGTTGTTACTGGTATCTGAATGAATCTTGATGAGCTCTGGGACAAGTGAAACCCTTGCATGTATCTTATAGTAGGAGGAGGAGTAGGTAATATCAAGCTGAATTGTCCACAGTTGTTAAAATATTTTTAAAAATGTATCCCTTATTTCCTTAAAATAGACTCCCCTAAAAAATCTTGGCATAGCGCTGAAATTTCATAATTATACTATCAGTGAAAAAAGCATTAAAGGCTGTGAGCATGGATGGTGGAAAATTAATGAACACATGTAAGTATATGAATATACTATACTATATATTCTTGAGAAGGAAGGCAGCAGATTGAGGAAGTTGTCATAGCAAGTAGTCATGTGATTATCACATCATCCTGATGGCCTTTATTTTAATGTGAACGACAAGATACAAATGCTCTCATTTGCTTCCTGTTCATTCTTCAGCATCGTTTGGATACGAGATATCCTGTCTGGCTTGTGTCAGTTGTAGAATGGGGAAGGCTTTCGAGCCCAAGGCAGTAGCTGGTGGTGCAGTGAGACAACAGTGCTTACCTGACCTCCCAGCAGTGGAGTCGCTGCTGCTTACTGGGAGGTAGAGTGGGAGAATTAAATGGTGGAGAGGCTGGTGCTGAGCGAATATACCAGCAGGAGCTCTGTATTGACTTAGCTGATGTGTTTGCTCAGCTTGGGCCTCCCCAACACCTTGCCCCTCCTACTCTCTCTTGGCTTCCAGTAAGTTGTAGCTACTCTACTGCCATAAGGTAACATAAATGATGACGCCCTGCCACACTGCCTGCTACAGGCCCAAGGGTCACATTCCTTTCAAGGTAACGTTCTAAGGGCTACATGCCGCTGATGAGTTGGGCAGAGGCAAAAGCTGGAAGGATATCATTCTCCATTCCAGTTGACGTTAAGCCCAGATATTTATAGGGGCAAATAGAGAACATGCTGGTGTGTGTGTGTGTGCATAGAAATGTATAGCAGCACCCTAAATTATTTGACCTCAGAAACTTGTGAACATAGGAAACATACCTAATGATGTTATTTGTCCATTGGCCCAGTACTGTCTACTCTGAGTGATAGCAACTTTCCAGGTCAGGTGTGTGGAGAGAGATGCTTTCCATTATCTACTGCCCAGCTTAACTGTGGAGACAATTAGAAATTTAACCTGCAACCTTTTGAATGCAAAGCATATCCGTCACTGTCACTGAGCAAATTCCCTACCCTAAGCATACAACAAACATACAACCTCACATTAAAATATTGAGATCGCATAAGAAAGCTTTACAGAGAAGGCAGTAACCTATGAACCACTTTGTTTCGCCATGTAAAAAATGATATTGTCTGAACAAATAGATTGATTAGGATGGAAGGGTTATGTTTCACAAACAATGGCCCAAACAATACTCTCCAGATGCCAATTTTAGTTGTGTCATTGCCACAATGTCCACTGAAAGAGGCTATCAGATACATCAATGGAAAGGCAATGGGCAGAACAATTATTTCCACATGTACAAATTTCCTTTGGGTGAAATTCAATGTAGTACTCAATCAGCACAAGCATTTTTGCTACATTGACAGAACAGCCTCTCCTCTCCTTCCTCTATGTGCTGTTCTGGCAGTTCACTTGATCCTCCAGAGAGGATTTGGGGGAAGTCATTGGGGAGGAGAGGATGGGGAAAGCCCAGTTGTGCTAGCAGGAGTTGAACCCTACTGTTACTCTTTTGTACCAGGTGATGATTTTAGAATGCAGTTGTTAAAAACGTTGAGGAATTCAAATATACTACAACTACGACTGTTCTTGTCTTTTAGTGATGAAAGATGTTCCATGCCCCACAAGTTAACATACATTCATCCCACAGGTATTGCGGTTATTACATTGATCATCAAACAATATTCCGAGTTGCAAGCTTTGCAGTTAACGTTGAGTTTCAATGTAGTTCCAAAATTTCAGAGCAGCCATTGCTTGTAGAATATGGAAGCTACAATATCAGCCAACGTAAGACTGATTTTAACTTTCCTTTATAGCTTTTGGAACACCACCTAAATGCATATTTACTAAAAAATACTGGAAGCCATCTTTGGCATGCAGGATAATGCTGAGTTTTTGCATGGTGAAGGTTTTTTCTTTCTTTCTGTTTTCTACTTTCTATCCGACAGTTATAATCCACATTTCAGCTATATAAGCTTGTTGTGACATGGTTTTAAGAACATATGTATAAGATGGAAGCCGCTCCTATTATTTTTTTAAAAAGCATGACTTGCTAATGCATGCTAAGCAACATGACTTGCTAAATATAAATATGCTGAAATATGAAATTGTAACAGATAGATCAGACTTCCCAAACCTGGTGTCTTCCAGATGTTTTGGACCACAACTCCAATCACCCCCCAATCTACAGAGTTGACCTAGCTGGGGTTAATGGAAGTTGTAGTCCAAAATATATTCAGATCACCAGATTAGGGAAAGCTGAAATAGTTTACACCTATAAATGATTTGGCAACTCAGTTATTGAGTTAACCCTTCCTAGTAGAGCATGGCATGAGATTGAGATGTGTCCCTGTATGCTATCTTTCTTAGACTATATGTCTCAGCTTTGACCAGTATCTTCTTTTCCTGATAAATTGGTAGTTTTAAATTTTATCTTAGGTTTATGAGTAACTTTATTTCATTGAGTTTTATTAAAAGGCAGTACCTGCCAAGTAGCATTCCTGCCCCTTTGTAATAAATAGGAGTGATGCAAAAGCACCTATGAAGCACATTTCATTTTAGGAGAACCAACTGTGTCATTAACTGGTGTTATGCCGTTAATTTCTTCAACTTTTCTTCTTTTTTACAATTCCCCATCATTATAAGAAAAGGCATTGCATTTGAAAAATATCAGATAGTGAAATATTTAATGAAATATTCATGACTGCAGTGCAGAATTTGTGTTGCTCTTGCCTTACTTTGGAGGTGTCCAATCACTCAACAGATCATCTCACCAGAGGTCTGAACCAGGTCACCGTGCTTTGGTTAAAGCCCAGGGGAAGACATCATGAAGTAATTCCTTCCAAGAAATTTTAAAGATCATGAAGTTCAGGCAGCCAGGAATGCAGCAGAGTTACTGGGCAAATGTTTACTGGAAAGAGACATGCACACATACCACACTTGGACACCTCACAATGCTAAGGTCAGCTCAAAGCCACCACACCTACAAACATTCCACAGAAATTCTCAAGTGCCCTAAGAATATGGCAGGAAAAGAAAACTTTTGAGATAGTTGAGAGCAGGCTTCAGCACAGTAGAAGTGGAAGAGCCAAAATTACTTGGAAAGCTAGAGGTCATAACTGTTTTCCTTCTTGCCTTCAGCTTGTCCACTTGGATCTTTTGAATGCCACACAGGTTTATGTGTTCAACAAACTCGGCGCTGTGATGGGATCAATGACTGCTTTGATGAAAGCGATGAGCTCTTTTGTGGTTAAGTATCCGTAGCAGATGAGCCCTGAAAATATTGTGACCACTCTTTAAAGTTACCTTTCTTAGTGACTTGCTGCCTTTCTTCTCATTTTAGGTGTTCCCAAACAAAACTGTAACACCAGTTTCCTAACACAGCACCATTCCCTTTTCTGTGATGGAATCAATGACTGTGAAGATGGTGAAGACGAACAACACTGCACTGAAAGTGAGTCCCACCCCATAAAAGGTGTTAAGTGCGACAGTTTCACCTTACAAATTGCTCATTCTAGTTATTGGAGTGATCCCCAGTACTTTGGGCTTGATACCAATTCAAGACCATTATTTTTGGTTCTGGTTTTTCTAATCAGAAGAGGAGAAAGATCTGTTGAACAGGCTGCTTTCCATTCATGCAACCATTGGATACAACCCTTTGCCTCTGGCTTAAAAAAGACACACCAAGTACTGGTGTCAAAAGTGAGCTGGCAGCACCTCGTCTGGATGTGAGCCTTTTGTGAAACTGAATGTTGGAAGATTCAGGGCAGATGAAAAGAAGTACTTTTTCACAGAGCACAATTAAAATCGAGAATTCACTACCACAAAATGAAGTAATGGCCACTGGCATGGATGGCTTTAAAAAAAGGGTTGGACAAATTTATGAATGATAAGGCTATCAAAGTCTACTAGCCTTGAGGGCTATGTTCTACCTCCACAGCTGAAGGCAATAGGCCTCTGCATACCAGTTTCTGGGGAACACAAGTGGGGAGAAGGCTATTGAGCATCAATAATGCCCTACTAGTGAGATTCTGATAGGCATCTGTTTGGCATCTGTGACAATTCCTCTCACAGAGCTACAATTCTCAGAGTTCCCACTTTGTGCTCCAGGCCCAACCATCCCTGGCACATGTCTCTTGGAAGTTTGCTCAGGCAGCTGTGCTCAGGCAGAATAGGGACTGCCCATTAAACATTTTCGAGAATTGTAGCTCGGTAAGGGGCATTGGGGTCTCATAACAACTCTCAACACACTTAACAAACTACAGTTCCAAAGTTTCAATGTCTGAGCCAGTGCTGAAACATTTTCATTTCTTGGATGAAAAAATGAATAAAACTGAATCTGCTGAAGCATGTATTTTGTCACTGGTTCTTTTTCAGGCATTCCGTGTACCAACAATACATTTAAGTGCAGCAATAATATTTGCTTCAGGAAGCAGAATGCAAGATGTGACGGGATTGTAGACTGCGTCGATCGAAGTGACGAAAACAATTGCAGTAAGTCTGATCAAGGCTGCAATCCTTAAAAAATGCTTACTAGGACAGCCCTTCTTAATCTGGATCCTCCAGATGCTGTAGGACTACAGATCCCATCATTCTACATCATGGCTAATGGTCAGTGATGATGGGAGTTACAGTCCAAAATAACTGTAGACGACCAGTTTGTAGAAAGCTGTGCTACAGTATTATGGTGCATCAAATACTTCATTGCATTCAATGGTCTTCAATGGCTGCACTCCACCTCCAATCTGTTTCAGATTTTGAGGGTGGGGGTGGATGGGACAGGAGAGGGGGAGGAAGTTCCATTGCATGCATGAAAGTCCCTTGCACAGGAGTGTAGTGTGGGTTGCCGGTGCCGGGGGGGCAAGTGTTGTGCCATCCTGTTGGACTGGGCAGCATTCAGTCCCTTCACCAGCCAGAGTCTAATCAATGGAGTCTCTCCTTGCAAACTAGCCCCAGCCTGGGAGCAGAGATAAGGCAGAGAATCTAAAAGCCATTGTTTCATTGATTCAGATTAACTAGTTATCAGTTGTTGGGTAATATTCTGAGAATATTTTAAAAGGATCACAGGTAGCTTCAATAACAACGTGGGCAGAAATTCTAGTCAAAGCTGATGTGTGTGAGCTTGGGAACATGACTCATAAGAAACACTCAGCTGGGATGTTCACATCTGAATGGGGAAGTCACATCTCCATTTAAAAACAGAAACAAAACCAGCTTTCCGGTTCACGTGAATTATTGGCTTCATTTTTCAAAGCTGCACATGCTTTTCCTAGCCCATGCACACTGCTCTGTACAACACAATAGGTATTCATTAGCATATTTTAGTCCACAGATACTGAAAGATACCTTATGCCAGGTCAAACTGCTCATTTATCTCATGATAGTCAGAGTTTCCAGTGGTTTTTGAGGGTCTGAGGCAGAGGTCTTTCACATCCTTTGCTTCCAGATGCTTTTATTTAGAGATGCCAGGGACTGAACCTAGGAAGCAAACTGAAGCTATGGGCACTCTTCTTCCAGCTGAATGTAAATAGTTTATGGTGCTTGATCCACCACAGAAAATTCCTAGGCCTAACTAACAGCTGCATGAATTAATCTGCAAATCCGCAATCCCTAATAATAGATTAAGATCTTAACTCAGTATAGAATTGGAGATAATGACATCTACCATTTGCATTAATTACCAGTGGTCTCTGTAAGGCAATCAAAGTGTCACTGGGTCTCCGACCATCTAAGACATGCAGCTTCTCCTGCAGGAAACAGGACTTTGCTTATCTCAGTCCTTCCCCCACAATGTGATAAAGGCCAATGGATGATGTGCAATGGATTATCACCCCTAACTAGGCTCTCATTGCACCAGCCACAGGTTTGCATAACAAATTCAGAGGATATTGTGTCGGTCTCTATACAGACAGTGGGGACTTCCGACTTTTTTCCTAATGGCAATTGTACACAGTGTTTGAAACTTTGGGAGAGTTTTTTAAAAGTCGTGTGCCCCAATGCAAGGGTCTTGTGTAAAACAAAAACATAAGTCAGAAACCCTTCTGTGTAACTGTGCATAAATAAACCCTTAATTTGCACCTGAAGGGATTATTTGAATCAAGACCACTGTCATGTGTTTCCTAGCACTCCAAATAGGCAGACCTCAGTTTGGACACAAACTAGTTATATTTAGAGTGCTCACATTCAAAAAGATTAGTTAACAAACCATCCAGTTAACTGTATTATTGGAAAATCAGTATTCCTCCATGGCTGCTACTGCAAGGGAAATGCTGAACTGTTAACCCTCTTTCAAAGGCTGTGGCAGCACTAAATACCGCAACATGCCCCACAGGATTGTGGGGGGGCTGGATGCCCATGAAGGTGAATGGCCATGGCAAGTCAGCCTCCATTTTGCTGGAGTTGCTTACTGTGGAGCCTCTGTGATATCAAAGGAGTGGCTTCTCTCTGCTGCCCATTGCTTTCAAGGGAACAGGTGAGTAATTAGAAATCCCTTCATCCATAGCTTCTCCTTTCTCAAAGCAGTGGCATGTATGGGATAGACATGGAGCACAATGCACTCCTTCTTCTCCTGTTAATTTGTAACAGTCAACCATGCAGCACAATTATGAAATTTCCAATATGCAGCTTGAAAAATAGCCTGGCCTCCCTTTGCATAGACGAAGGGTCAGTGCACAAGGCTGCCTAGTGCTTGGCTTTTCCAATATGCACCTATTTCCATCTGTCCATGGCAGATCCCTGCTCAGAGCCCACTTTGTGCTCCAGGCCCAACTACCCCTGGCACCTGTCTCAGGCAGGTGTGGTCCTTGGCTGAACAAAATTCCCCGCTTCCATTTTAGTCCCACAACCCTTGTTTTAAATTCCTCAGTTGCACACCTTCCAACACCCCCCTGAAGAAAACGGGGGCATAAGGGTGTGGTACCAAAAGATGCACATATTTTGGTGCTGTGCCCTCACCCAAGTCAGTTGACTCACACAACAGTGTGGCATCACTGCCAGTTCATCCCTGGGACATTCTGGGCAGTGGTGAGTGGTCAGTAGACTAGGGGGACTAGTCTAGTCCCTAAATTTTCCCCTGGCACCTCCTTACCAAAGCCCAGAGCTTCTGTCTGGCTTAGGAAAGGAGACGTGATGCTCTAATAGTACACAACTGCTGTGTGTGTGTGTGTGTGTGTGTGTGTGCGCGCGCGCGCTCTCTCCAGAGTTTTCATACCTTGTTCTAGAAGTTTGGTTACTGATGCTTGCATGATAATCTGCTTTCCTTAAGGTTATCTGATCCTAGAATCTGGACAGCTCATTTGGGAATGCGCACTCAAGGAAAAGCCAAATTTGTCTCTACTGTGAGAAGGATTATTGTGCACGAGTACTACAACAGCAGGAATTATGACTATGACATTGCCCTGCTCCAATTAAGCACACCGTGGCTGGACACAATGAGGTGGCTAATTCAGCCAATCTGCCTGCCTCCCATCACACATAGAGTTCACACTGGGGAGAAGTGCTGGGTAACAGGATGGGGGCAAAAGCAAGAAACAGGTGAGCTTCCTGCTTCTTTTTGCCAACATGCCGGGAATTGCAATGAGAGATTTTTTTGTTTCACTTTTTTATGTTTAGCACAGAGTTTGTATCTGTAACATCAATGCACAATCATATTTTCTTGAAACAGATAATGGCTTAGGTGACAAAGGAGAAGCAAAGGGAGTCCTTGTGGTGTAGTGGTTAGAGTGCCAGACTTGGACCTGGGAGACCAGGGTTCAAATCCACACTCAGTCATGAAGCTCACGGGGCCAGCCAGTGCCTATAGCCAAAGCCATGGGGTTGTTGTGGGGATTAAATGAGGAGGAGCGAGAACCATATATGCCACCTTGAGCATCTTGGAGTGAAAAATGGGACATAAATGCAAAAAATAAATAAAAAGTGACCTGTTTTGCTCATTTTAAGCAGAATCTGAACTCTGACAAGCAAGGTAGAACTTTTTGAAGGAAGCATCAGCATTGTGCCATCCATGCCAGGGATGAGGAGCAGCCTATAACCCTTGGACTCCAACTCCCATCAGTCCCAGCCAGCATGGGCAAGGGTCAGGGATGATGGGAGTTGTAGTCCAACAATACCTGGAGAGCCACACAATCCCTGTCACTGACATGCTTTCTGTAATGGTTCTACTGGTGATGATGGATCATGAGGGCACCAACGTAAAAGGAAGCCCTTTTTGTCAGCCTCAGTTGGCCACCTGCAATATGAAGATGGTAATATTCACTTACCTCACAGGATTATTGTAAAGACCAATGAAACAACAAGTGCTGATTTGATCCTTCTAAACTCATAAATAATAACAGTAACAACAATAAGAGCTAGGACAGAAGCCAACATCTCCTTTCCTTGGAAGAGAACCCCATTTCAGTATAACTTACTTTCTAGACATAAGATATATATTCTAGACATAAGTTATTGGTTTTCTTAGATTTGATAAGAGCCAGGTTTAGTATAGTTGCTATAAGGATTGCTATCTGGATCTGGAGTGAGAGATCAGGTACTCGAGAATTATCATCTTGCCTAAATTATTAAACTTTTCCAGATGATGAAACCTCGGCAGTTTTGCAAAAAGCAGAGGTAGAGATTGTTGATCAAACACTGTGTCATTCAACGTATGGGCTTATTACAGCCCGCATGCTGTGTGCTGGGATGCTGTCTGGGAAAAGGGATAGCTGCAAAGTAAGTACCTTGCTCTCTCACATACTTGCCCCACTTATACTTGCTCACCACTGCTGCTTACTATTCCTCATCCCCACCCCCCAAAATATTACCACTGACTTTTGACTGCATTCCAGTTCAGGTCTGTGCTAGGAAACTTAATGACACTGGTCTCAACTGGATCTTATATATACCTTCCCCTGACAGGTTGTGCTCCTGCAACCTGAAACTTCTCCTGCATGGAAGGCACCACTGCTCTTCCCAATTCATATGTCTCCTGGTTCCGGGATAAGGGGTGAGGGGTAGGAGAAGGTAGTGTGTCTACTGACCTATCTATTGGTTGAACTGCCTTTTCCTCTTCTGCCACATCTGGTGCACCTTCCTCTATCTCAGACTGCCTTGACTCCCCCCCTGGCTCCCACCTTTTGAGTGGCACCAATCCCCATAAATGACTGGTCTCCTCTCCTGGGTCATTCCCCATGCCTCCGCCACGTAGTGGTTAAGAGCGGTAGTCTCGTAATCTGGGGAACCAGGTTCGCGTCTCCGCTCCTCCACATGCAGCTGCTGGGTGACCTTGGGCTAGTCACACTTCTTTGAAGTCTCTCAGCCCCACTCACCTCACAGAGTGTTTGTTGTGGGGGAGGAAAGGAAAGGAGAATGTTAGCCACTTTGAGACTTCTTAAAGGGAGTGAAAGGTGGGATATCAAATCCAAACTCTTCTTCTTCTTCTTCTGCCTGTTCCTGACACCTGGGGACAGCTTTTATCCACATTGGTAGATAATTGATGCTATCAACAGAAATGATCTAAAACAGCAAAATGTGTTGACCTTTGAAAACAATGTCTTTTTTTAGGGAGATTCTGGAGGACCCCTATCATGTCGAAGCAAAAGTGATGGAAAGTGGTTCTTGATGGGAATCGTTAGCTGGGGCTATGGCTGTGGAAGACCCAATTTCCCCGGAGTATACACAAGGGTGTCAAATTTTGCTACATGGATACACAAATATGTGCCTTCAGTTTTTTAATTTAGTGGCAATTACACTTGAAACAGAGTCAGCTCTGAAATGTCCTCATTAAAACCACATTTACTAAATGATTAGCGGTGTTTTCAGTTTGTCATTGTGTCAGCTACACCCATGGCCTCAGAATGAATGGCACGACCACATGCTCAGTAAGTAGAATTGTACAGACGTCTTGAAAAGTCTAGGTTCCTACCTTTCTCACTCTCAAGTAATGCCACAAAAACTTAATTTTTTGTATATTTTTAATGATTATTTGCATCAAATGTAGGGGGAAAGATATTTTATAAGACTACAACACTAGCCATGTGTCAGGATGTTGTCAGTGGCTCCCGGCTGGCTGCCCAAGAAAGTATAAAGACAAGGAAAAATTTCTTACTATCCTTTTTATTTCAATATTTACAGAGAGAGGCTATAGAACCCAGCCTCTTGGATAATGGCATTGTCCTGAGTGAATCTCCACCCCCGTCTCTTCCACTTCCTCATTTGTCACTTCTACGGGTGCTGCTACATGTCCTCTGTCTCTGAGCTCTTTGCTCTCCTACTTTTAAGGCTCGCTGGGTTCTGGGAGATGGAAGGTCTGGGACGCTTTCTAATGACACCATGTCAGCCAGCTGCTGCTCCGACTCTGCCCGCTTCTCCTCTCCTATTATTTCTCAACTTTTCCCCTCATCTGCCTCTGAGCTGTGACCTCCCACAAACCACTGTTGTAAATCTATACTGTCTTCCTCTTCCTCCTTCCTGGAAGGGTCAGGATGGGGAGGCGGTCTCCACCATTCCTCCTCTGCCCAGTCCCTGGATGCACGACACAGGATGCCTGAGACTATTATATTTCCAGCATACAACCACAGGGGCTGTAAAATATGGGGAAGGAGACACCATCTTTGAATCTCTTCCCCTCTTGAAGGAAATATTGCTTGAGGAAGGCAATGCTGATTGGGAAAAAAATACTCTATGGGGAAAAAGTTAAGTATCCCTTTCCCCTAAACCACCTCCTCTTCACACTGCCATCTGGCTACATTTCAGCTGGAAGATTAATCACTGGGTTCTCAAATTGCATGTAGTTGGGTCATTTCCCCCAGACAAAACTTGAAAGTGGAACCTTATTCAGGGATGCAACATGGGAAAGGACATAACTCATTTCAAAACGCCTTAGGACAAACCAGTTGTGTTTCTTATAGTTTATACTTCTTGTTGGCATCCATCTGTCTCAGGAGACAATGAAAAAGTGCCTTCAGGGATGAAGTCAAACTGCTGGAGAGTTACAGTGCCTGCTGTGGCTGAAGAAACATACAGGAGAGACATGTTTTATTGCAGCTGGAGCAGATGAAGGTGTCCAGTTTTGCTGCTACAGGTGTACCATAGTGTTTCATCTCTAAGCACTCCTCCCATCAGTCATTGCTCCTCTGGCCAGATACAAGACCTGACTGCCTATTTCCAGTTTTTACTAGGGGTGGGAAACTCCAAGCCCATGTAAACAATTCAGCTCTCCAAGCTTCTCTGTCTGGCTCTCAGGACTTGCTCTAGGCCACACTTCTCCTCAGCGACACACCTCACCTGACCTGCTTCACAACCTCCCCAGGTGTTTTTACCAGGCTGGAATTTGTCCTTGAACTCTGATCATGCTTCTTGTTTGCCTGGACAGAGGATAGAAATGGTTATGTGTCGAAACTAGCTTAGTTTGTTGTTGTTTAGTCGTGTCCAACTCTTCATGACCCCATGGACCAGAGCACGCCAGGCACTCCTGTCTTCCACTGCCTCTCACAGTTTGGTCAAACTCATGTTGGTAGCTTCAAGAACACTGTCCAACCATCGCGTCCTCTGTCGTCCCCTTCTCCTCGTGCCCTCCATCTTTCCCAACATCAGGGTCTTTTCCAGGGAGTCTTTTCTTCTTATGAGGTGGCCGAAGTGTTGGAGGATCAGCTTCAGGATCTGTCCTTCCAGTGAGCACTCAGGGCTGATTTCCTTCAGAATGGATAGGTTTGATCTTCTTACAAAGTTAGAATTTACAATTCTTGCACCCCTCCCTGGTTTATACACCCCCATGAATGCAACTTCAATGGATTACTTGCAGATGTGAAAGATTACTCACAAGTTGAAACACATAATCTGATCTCACCTCAAGTGCAGTACTCTTCAGTGGAAAGGTCTGCCAGATTCAGGTGCCAATGTCATAGTGCTGAGAAACCAAATAATAGTTCATACATAAGTGCAAGTCTAAAATACTGTAAGAAATGCTCTGCAAGGGATAGACATCAGTGGCAATTTAGAACACGCTCATTTCATGATACGATTGGAGGCCAGAAGTGTTCTCTAGGACTTAGTTTCCCCTAAAGCTTTTTAGTAACCATTCCGAGGGTTAGTCCACACTTCTGCTTGCCCTACCACATGCCCCATGGAAAACCTGCTGTTTATCGCTGAGTTGGAGCGAACATCAATCAGGTTTTCTCTGGATTGATGTTCAGTATGATTTAGCACTGAAGAATGGATTTTCTGGGGGAAAGTGTTGAGGCAAAGGCAAAACAGCTCAGATCCATGCCTAGAAAGCATGGGGCAAGCGGGAAACAGTTTGGACACGTGCTTTCTAGGCATGCGACAGGCAGAAGTGTGGATGAGCTGCGGTTCGGGATAAATGAAGTATCACTTCTGCAGAAAGTGACCTCAGCTCAGAGGGCTGCCAGGATTTGCAGCCAACAAAGAGTTGCTGGGAAAGAAGAAAATAGAAGCATGCTTGGGGGAATACCAAGTTCTACAGAAATACATAAAAAAGCGAAAAACATAAAACATCAGCCAGCAAAAATCAAACAAATGGCCCAGCAATAACAAAGCATACACAATAGCCACATAATGTAGATTGTTAGTTGGAAAAGAAAATGGGGAGATGGGAAGTAGAGTCCTCTGCTTGAAAGGAATTACTGGCTGGAGAAGGCACCAACATTTTGTTGCAGGTCCCACTTGCTGGCGTTTCATTTATGCCGTTTTTTGGACTAGTTACAGTGATTGGTGTTAATAGAATCTGAGCCAGCCTGAGTCTCTAAAATAGGGCAGAGAAGAAGTATGACCACATGGCTCCTAATACAGTGGTACCTCGGGTTACATACGCTTCAGGTTACATATGCTTCAGGTTACATACTCCGCTAACCCAGAAATAGTACCTCGGGTTAATAACTTTGCTTCAGGATGAGAACAGAAACCGTGCTCTGGCGGTGCGGTGGCAGCAGGAGGCCCCATCAGCTAAAATGGTGCTTCAGGTTAAGAACAGTTTCAGGTTAAGAACGGACCTCTGGAATGAATTGTTCTTAACCCGAGGTACCACTTTATGTGGTTGTTTTACACATTTATGATCCACTTTCCCGCTACAACAGGACACAAGACAAAGTACACCTATTACTCTGGTGTAAAGTAAAATGAGTTAACTTGGGCTACACACACACATCATATATTTACAGCACATGACTTCCCCCAAAGAATCTTGGGAGCTGTAGTTTGCGATGGTTGCTGGGAACTGTAGCTGCGTGAGGGGTAAACTACAAATCCCAGGAGAAGCAATATGCTTTAAACGTGTTTCAGATTTATGGTGTGTATTACTACCCTTCACTACCTTCAGGGGGAATGCCCTGCTATTAAACCGTCAAGAGAGGAACCGTTTTACTACCTCTCCTGCTTGAAAGTCCAAAGCACAGCATAGTGAAGAACACCTACAAATGCCAGTAAAATGTGATTCTGATCTCATCATACCATCAAAGCATGCTAGCATTCTAAAGATGCACAGGACAACTATGCTATACATTAGATGACCTTGGGTTTTAGTACAGTGGTACCTCAGGTTACATACGCTTCAGGTTACATACGCTTCAGGTTACAGACTCCGCTAACCCAGAAATAGTGCTTCAGGTTAAGAACTTTGCTTCAGGATGAGAACAGAAATCGTGCTCTGGCGGCGCAGCGGCAGCAGGAGGCCCCATTAGTGGTGCTTCAGGTTAAGAACAGTTTCAGGTTAAGAACGGACCTCCGGAATGAATTAAGTACTTAACCCGAGGTACCAGTGTATGTTCATAATAGGCTTTTAATTTAACTAAATTGTTGATAGATTTTCTTTTTGGGGTGGGGCGAGTGTAAGAAAAACATCATTCCAGAAGCAGATTTTTTTTTAAAAAAAACCCCAGTATCATTTAAACACCCCTCCCCCCAGTGCCATGTCCTGTAAACAAAGAAGCCAAGAAGTTCTACTCAAAAGGGTAAAGTGTGTGCAAGGTTTTCAGACTTTTAAATACGTCCCTCAACCGTAACCATGCTGTAACAAAATCCCTCTGTGTTCTTAATTACTGTTCTTGGTTCACTTGGTTTTGTTGCAAGGATGTAAGCATTTTAAAAGGGTCAGTAAGTTCCTTTGATTTCACTCAGGCTATTTCAGTCATTGTCCGAGTTGCTCATTACAGCCGATATTCTTTCCCCTCCCTTTGTTTTAAGAAATGCTGGTGCGCATGCTGTAAAGCGCTGCTATCAAAAACGGAGTTTTTGCACGAATAGCATTGGGGTTTGTCTCATTTGTCCATTTTCAAAGGAGATGCTATCTTAACCGAGAGTCCTTTTGTGTAAACCTGATCCCATCTGCCTGGTTTGGAAAAGAAAGAGTTACAGCCAGGATGGCTTATTTTCCTTCCCACCTACTACCTGAACCACAGGTGCTCAGCCGGGAGGCTGTTTAGTCATATAGCAAAGGAGAACCAAGGACAACAATAAGAGGGAAAGGCATTGTTTTCCCCTGAGGTTCCAAATACAAAAGCCCTAGTTGCTTCTAGGATTTTGATATGTAGAACGGCAGAACAAACCAGGGAAGCATCATCATGAGGTCTTTCCCATCCAGACGCCTCTCTGTTATATACAGCATACCTACTCCTTGCGACTCACACTTTCTCTCTGGACTGGTAAGAAATTGCAATTCGGTTTCCTAACATGCTTGTAAATTGCTCATGAATAATACAACGATTAATTCGCTTGTCAGCTGAGCAAAGGCAGAATCATTTTCCTCAATTTGCTTGCTGATTCCTTCCTTCCTTCCTTCTTGAACAGGGTCTGCCTTTTCACCACAGCCAGGCTTCACAAGAAGATATTGCAAGTCGAAAGCATTCTTTTGGCCAAAAAGTGCCTTTTCGTTTCTGGAAAAGATGTCTTTTACAAACGTTACCTGTGATTTCCTTGACTGTCACTGTGATTCTGCTGGTGCTGTACTATACGTTATGTAAGTGTCACTACTGCAAGCTTTTAATTTCTATAAGCATGTCAAGGTTGCCTTCATTGCTTTTCAAGCAGGTTAATGCTAAAACTATTTTTAATTGGTTTTTATTTAGTTCCAGGATGCCAATGATGTATCGTGTTTATGACAAATATTCATAACCAACTAGTTTTGGCACACTATGAGAATCTTGTGTTTTTGGTGCTTTTGTCCACTAATGCAGAAAGTTGTTGCATTGGGGGGACACACTGTACTCAAGATCTATGGTTTGCAAATAATGCTAATCCTACACTATCTGCAAAGCCAAATCATTTAAAAGTGTTGCCCCTTGGGTATGAATTTAGCTTTAACATTTTAAAAAAAATGGTTAGAAAACATACAGATAAAAATCAATAACATTTCAAAGTTAAACATTTGCATAGTGTCTGTAAGAAAGTCCTACATACACCTTCTTGATCACTTGAGAATATTATGAGCAGGCACTGACAAAAGTCAGATTCATCTGATAGTTGTGTCTTCATTTGAATCCAGTGAAAGTAGATTTCCATTTGAATACGGAAGATCATCTGATTATATTTTTTGAATAAAATTTTGTAGTGGACCTTGATTTGATGTTGTGTATTAAAAGGGAGGGTCTTCCTATTAACACAGAAGTTATGCCTTTTTAAGCAACCTTTCCCCCTCCAGCATGAACTAACCTGTTTTTGTTTTGCTAATATTTCCCCTCCCTTCCTTCCAGCTCCTGCATTCTCTTTCATCTACATTGGTGGAAGCCTAGAAATTCCTAACCTGACCTACACAAGTGACCTAATGCACCCCAAATCACATACATTTATATTGCAAGCTGAAGCTGTCCAGAATTGTGTGAGTTTGCCTATGGAAAATACAAGGGACTACATTTTGGTTCAAATTTCATTTGATAGGTTTTGTACTTGGGATATGCTGCTGATGAAACTAGACCTGCTGAGGCACGGTTAAGGGACATGCGCCTATCTTTTTTGAGTTGCCTTAAAGGGAAGGTTGTGGTGGCTTGATCAAAATTGAAGACCATTACCAATGTCAGTCTTACCACTAAGCATGCCGAGACAAGCTGGTATGGGCAGCACTTTTCACGCCCACCCAAAAAGTGGTCAATTCGTATTATTGCTGTTGCACGTGGGTGCCACTTTGACGTTATGCTTCAGGAACTGAAATATCTTAAGCCTTCTAGAATTAGAAAAAACAGTCTCTGGTTCCATTTCCTGTAAGCAGAGTTGTGTCTTCTTCTGTTTTACACAGTAGATATTTCATATATATTCTCTGCCTACTCAGAAATACGCCCCACTGAGTTCAATACAACTTAGCCCCTAGTAAGTTTGTATACGATTGCCGCCTTAGTGCATTTCTTTGTGGAGATTTTTGGACAATTAGTTTGTATTTAAAGCAAACCCCTTTTCAAATTTCCTCTTCCAGCACAACAATACTTGCTTTCTTGCACTTCTCTCCCAAGTTTACTCTATTTGCGAGATCAAAACACTTTTCTAGCTCCTTGCTAACAGAAGGCTTGAAAATACAAAGCATCTCTCTGTTAGCTTGCATTGCCCAACTGAATTCACCGGGTACCTCAAAGCTGCTTTGTGCATGGGTTGCATGAGTGGCCCATGGCCTGATTAGAAGCCAGAAATGACAGAGATCTTAAATAGTCTAAATCAATACTGATTTTTGTCATTCAATAACTACTATTTCATGAAGAATCAGTATCATGCTACCTTGTAAAAATGAATCGACCAGCGCTGGCTACCTACTTATTTGTGCTAGACATAAAACAATGGCAAGAAAATGTTTTTGTTACTTGGAACTCTTTAAAAAATTGTATATTTTACAGACTTTTTCTTGTTCTTTATATTTAGTTTTCTAATCGTTTAACTCTCAGTTTCCAGAATTGTATGGATCTTCTGCCTTAGGGAATTATTACTTGACATCTGTTATTACTGCTTTTAGGTAAGTACCAGAATTTCAAAAACCCTTTTTCTGACTGTAGGCATTTGTTTTGTCTTCTCTATTCATGTTTTCAAGAATCAGAAGATAATAAAGTTAAGTAGAGGATCTCATTAGGAATTTAGTCTTATTCCAGTTCAGATTAGACTTTGGCTAGAATTCTAAATAAACTTCCCATTCCATCTCAGATAGCCTTTTTGAAATAGTCTAAGCAGGGGAAGTGAATGTGAAGGTCAGTGGATGGTTAGCACTGGTCTAAGACTATTTACATATACAAAAGCAATGGAACTTAGTTCGTTGCAGCTCATTTCTGCCATTGGCTGCATACACAATATACCTTTTAAACACATTCAAAAGACATTTCCCACCTCAATATGAGCATTATGCCTCATGAGAGGAATGAGGCTGAGAGACAGTGACTTGGGCTGGGTACACATTACCAGCTTAAGTGAAGCTAGGTTGCTCTTTTTCTCTGTTTGGATCAAAGCTGTTTTTGTTTTTCATTTGTTTGAGGGGGAAGATGGATATCAGAGCATAGTATTTCATAAGAAATGGCAGGATACCTAAGGATTGTGGCTAAAATGGTGTTTATACCGCTTCCCAAACCAATGGTGGGAGCACGCTAGATGCAGAATAGACAGGAACAGGTCTACAGTCATGTATAATGCCACATAAATATTGTGCATCTGAGGTTAAATGTGAACCAAGGACTTCCCAGTTCACCAGCTCTTTGCAGATGTTGTTGTTGTTTAGTCGTTTAGTCGTGTCCGACTCTTCGTGACCCCATGGACCAGAGCACGCCAGGCACCTCTGTCCTCCACTACCTCCCGCAGATTGGTCAAACTCATGCTGGTAACCTCGAAAACACTATCCAGCCACCTCGTCCTCTGTCTCCCCCTTCTCCTTGTGCCCTCCATCTTTCCCAGCATCAGTGTCTTCTCCAGGGAGTCTTCTCTTCTCATGAGGTGGCCAAAGTACTGGAGCCTCAGCTTCACGATCTTTGCAGATGTACATAGCCACATTGTTAGTGGTTGCATTTCACCCTTAGTTTATGGTGAAGTGCAGGATCTGAATGGTAAACAACCATCTTCACGTGAGCAGGAATCTCCCTAGGGGGAAAAAAGAAAAAAAAAGAGGTCTCTGTAAGCACTGATTGATTGGTGCTTGTAGTTTGAATGTGTGACCCCATTTAACTCACAAACTTCTCCCTATGTGCTGGAAATCTGCCTTGATACCCTTGTGCACAGGCAGAGAGCAACAAGACATCCCTCTCCAAGCCGATGCTCTTCTTCAGTCTTATTTTGTCATCTTCCTCCAGTGAAGGAAAGAGTGGCCTTCGAGCTTATTACTGGAGTACATTTTGGGCCCCACAAGATATGGTTCTTTCTATTCAAAATCTGTCTTCGACGAAGCAAAAGCAAATACTCAGTAAACGGGCACCTGCAACTGAAAACAGCACGGCTGAAGTATATTCTTTGGAGGAGGATTTTGATGTTATTACCATGGAACTCTTTGGTAACATTATTTTTTATATTCTTTAGAAGTTCCAATAATTCATAGGAATGCATATGCCACTAATTTTGAGGATTCTTCATCATTTTTAGTTTCAGATTCTATGGACTATGATGTGACATGGAAAGCAGGTAAGAGCTATTTTTGTCCCCATTGTCCAATGGCACACCATTTCAAATGTTGCTCTAGCACAACTTTCTTTTGTTTCATCAGTGCTTGCTCTTAAGTTGAACCTAAAGGATTCAGTGAGTAAGAGGAACATCTCCAGCTCAAGAGTCATGGAAATGAGCAGGGTTGCTCAAGACCACCTTTGCACCCCTATGCAACTCATTTTCATTCCAAGGCTACTTCTGCAGGAAAAAAAATGTATTGCACTCTGAGTCAATTGCAACCATTGTCTGCAAAGATGGATGGACCTATTCATTTCAGCTCTCCACATTTCTGCAGCAATTTGCCATTTTAAAAAATCTTCACGAAATCTTTATGAAAATTCACCAGCCCTTTAGCATGACATGAATTTATCCTAATAAACACATTATTGCATACAATGTTGACAGATATACATATTTATGCAAGCAATTTTCCCTTACAAAATCCTTTTTTGTATGTTTTATTCACTAATAAAGATGTTTTGCACAGATGCTCCCATAACAGATGCCAAAGAGAGAGAGACAGAGAGTTCAGATGGAGAACTGGATTGCAAAATTTTGAAAAGTGAAAATGTTGAAGGATAGTTGTGTTTTGGTTCACCCTGCGGTTTGAGAAATGCAAATTATGTAGTTCCTTGTTAAAATGCAAACAAAATCAAATTTCTTCTGCATCCCTATTTTCAGCTTATAAAAACGAATCCAGACTATTTAAGCATTTCCAAAAGGCCTGATCTTCTAAATCTGGGACTGTAACCCATTCAAGGTTTCTCAGTAGATGGTGTTATAGCACTGGCAAACTGAAGTCTGTGTATGGATCCCTATGTTGCCAAAATAGCACCATCCATGCATAAGAGGGAGGGATAATAATAATACAACAGGCGGAGGAAGGACATAAGGAGAAGAAAACCCCAAAGAGCCCAATGGGTACTGAGCTGATTGACAGTTATGTGTACTTGTGACTGAAAACTGAGGAGAGGGGGAATGGAATGGACTATCTTAGAAGAAGACATGGCTGGTTGGAGAGCTCCACACTGCAGCATTTTTCTTACAGGCCCCACTTGTCAGTTGCATAATTGGCCAATTTAAATCAATGTTGCACTCTCAAAATGTGAGGTATGTGGAGTTATTTGCTTAATTTATAAAGGCTGTATAAGAACTTGCTAGAGACATGTGGAAGACAGTGGTGGTGGTGGCAGCAGTAGATTATCAGGAGTGCACCTGCTGGCCAGCTCCTGTATCTTGCAGTAGTAAACAGAGCACACATAGGCTTTGTTCACAGCTTTAGGTGAACAAGCAGATGGGGAGAATGAGGGCAGCAAGACCAGTACTGTTCCCTCCATCCATGTATTGCTACCCCCACAGATGTCATCTGAGTAGGAGCTCTGGAAGGGGCCAGAAGCCTTGATCTCTGCTCCAGCCCTTCACCAAAGATAAGAACAAAAATCTCCCTCTCTTTTGGGAATTGCTGCTGTGCCTTGAAGCATGCTGCTCAAAGATTATGGCATGATAACAGCAGATCAGTTCTGAGCTGTTTTGTCCCTACAATATGACTGCAATTAATGGGATGATATGTGAGAAGAACCGTAATTGTTTAGTCCTGCTGGCTGGGCCACAATATGGTCTTAACCTCTGGATAAAGTAAAAAGAAGAAGACCAATATGCTGACATGGTTTATGGATCTGAGAAATTTTGAGCTGGCTTGACTTAGTGGACTAACAATTACACTGTTCACCTCAACAGCTGTGGACAAGTCAGTCATGATTCCTCATCCACACAATGGGTATGGTGAAGCTCATAAAGATCTTTTTAATGCTGGAAGAGTTAGATATTATACAAATGATGTTTGCTGCATTTACCTTAAGGATACAGCTGTAGTCGAGAGTAAGCCCCATAGACCTCAGTAAGATTTCTGAACAATTGTGCTTAAGATAGTGCTGTAAGAAAGAGGAATTGTCTCCAACTGTACGCTCTACTTAAGCTGATGTGTTTCACCTGCTTTTTCCATTAGTTGATGCACTTAGAGCTGCTTTGCATTCAGTTATCTGGTGAAAGGTGCTGGCTTGGTACACAGAAATTCAAGTCTTCTAGCCACTAATCAGGTGCCCAGTGTAGATCCTTTTTCATCTCCTTTGTGCCTCCGCCTTGTCCCAAAGGAGGACAACTTCATGGGGTGATAGCATAGCACAGAGCTGTCTCATAATGTATTCAGTCCTTGTCTGATGTGATGGACAAGCCTGTCTTTTGTGGCGTAGACAACTGGTTCCTGGGATCTGGGCTGACAGGGTCTGGATGGATTCATTTCTCTGCTTTTCTGCCACTGATCTATTTTGGTTTTGTCTACCAGTGGCCTTTGACCTCTATGCAAAGCCTGGTAATAATAGGACCTTAACACTGATGAATCCTAAGAGACCTTTTTATCAGTGGAGGCTGCGAGTTCCGTCGGACCACGTTGTGAGACTGGTGGTTGTTCCCTTGCATAGCGTGACTCCTGGGAGCTGTGCATCTCACAGGCTATCCGCATATGACTTCCTTCTCCCTCTGCAAAATAAGATCATTACAAGGTAAGAGCATTTACAAAGTTTGCTCCATGCTGGAGATCTAATGAGGTTGAGGGTATGTTTTATCATATGTGGTGGACTTATAAAAGAGTATTGGGAAATGATATATAATGAACTGGGGGGAAATGTTGAAAAGTACCTTTCAAAAAACAAAACAGAGTCCTTTTTGTTGGGGATAACTCAGAGGGAAATTTCCAGTTGTCAAAAAAGACTATTTATGTATGCGACTACTGCAGCACATGTTTTGCTAGCCCAAAAATGGAAAATGAGTGAGGTCCCAACCAAAGAAGAATGCCAATTTAAACTGATAGATTACACGCAGCTTGCAGTTTTAACATATAGAATAAGAGAACAAGAAGAAAGTATGTTTAAAGAAGACCGGAAAATCTTTACTGAATGAATACATGGGTGAAAACTGTGTTCATTTAAAAATGCTGGTAGCATTAAGATAAATCCAACAGTGTAAATAAGTTTTGATAGATGTAGCAATAGATTACGGAATGGTTTAGTTTATGTAAAATATGCAGGGATGTAAGATATGCGAAGGGACAGAGGTGGCGCTGTGGGTTAAGCCACAGAGCCTAGGAGTTGCTAATCAGAAAGTTGTGGTTCAAATCCCTGCGACGGGGTGAGCTCCCGTTGCTTGGTCCCTGCTCCTGCCAATCTAGCAGTTCGAAAGCACGTCAAAGTGCAAGTAGATAAATAGGTACCGCTCCGGCAGGAAGGTAAACTGTGTTTCTGTGCGCTGCTCTGGTTCACCAGAAGCAGCTTAGTCATGCTGGCCACATGACCCGGAAGCTGTACGCCGGCTCCCTCGGCCAATAAAGCAAGATGAGCGCCCCAACCCCAGAGTTGGCCACGACTGGACCTAATGGTCAGGGGTCCCTTTACCTTTAAGGTATGCAAAATGAACCGTGGAAAGAGAAGAAGGGAAGTCATTGGTTTAAGGTTGTTTAAATGAATATTTTGAAATGTAAATTAGAAAATGTAATAAAAATTATATAAATAAAAATAAAAATAAAAAGTTTGCTGCATAGACACAAAGCAGTGCGCTCTCTCTCTTTCTCTCTCTCTCTCATTACATGGGGTAGAGCACCCTGTGTCCCAAGGCCCCTTGGGTGGTACGTATAGTAGTGGAAGAGACTTTCTGCTCTCCAAATCAGCTTTGTAATCTGCCTGGATGTATTTCAGATGGTGTGGGTCGTCCGGGGCCTGGACATCCCCAGTTATACGTTTAACTTCATCAAGTAATGTCATGTTGGTCACATTCTCATTGGACCGAAGAAAAGAGAGCAATATATTGAATGCATATTTTCAAGCAGTTCCTAAAATTGGTATGTAGTTGCCAGATGCCAAGCACTGTTTGTGAATTACTTTTGATGGCTCACATGTAGTTGTGATATATTTGGAATATTTATGTGGATTTAAAATGGGGAATAAGACACGGATTCAAGGATTATTTTGACCCGACTCTATAATAATAGGGTTCTCTATGACTGACATGGATAGCAAGTGCTGGAGTGAAATGATCCACTTTTTGGCTATATTGAATGACTCGTGATTCAAGTAACTTAGGACAGTAGCTCTGTCAAGTTCACAATGGCATTGAGAAGAGTGAGCCAAATGATGAAAGATGCTTTGGTGGGAATACTAATTCTGTCACCCTTCTTATTACAAAGGTATACAAATCTGTTGCAAATTTTCCTCAAAGTGGATGGTGGCAAACTGAGCTGCCTCCGCATATCAACACTGTGAAAGCATATTCTCTGAGCAGCAAAACAACCAGCTTCTGAAAGTCAGTGAAGGGGGTTCCAAATGTCATTTGTTGTACGATGCATAGGGGGAAATAAGTGAATCATTGTACTTTGTATGTGTTTTCCCTTGCACAATGAGAAAGGAAGAACCCCTTTGGCCTAGCAGAGTGCAGAGAGTCATTTCTATGCAGTTATTTCTTTCCTGAGGGAAAAGCCAAATGATCTATTAGCTCCACAACTGTACACTTAAATGCAGGTTTTTAAAATCAGGTTGCCCACACAGCACACCTGCTCTATATTTTGACAATAATGTGTGTTTGTGTGGGGTGTGTGAATGTAATGCTACCCACCTATAATAATTCTTTTTTGCTCCACCACCTCGTACCAGCTACTTGCATATGAAAAAAAAACACCTCCCATTCAATTCAACAAGAGCTTTTCCCATGCTTTCCATAACAAGAGATGAGCAGTTCTTCAGAATAATAATGTTTTGTTTTTATTTTCTCCTTAGTATGTGGCGGTCGATACATCTCTTGGAATGGGACTGTAATTTCTCCATACTACCCAAGTTACTATCCACCGAATATTGACTGCCACTGGATTATTAGAGTATGTACTCTTAGAAGTAACAGGGAACTTTTTAATGAAAATCTTTTAAAAACTTGATTCCACCCCCCCCCCCCAAAAAATAAGCTCTTCTAAAACAGGAAGGCCAGAAAAACAGAAGGAAATAAGAATTTTAAATGAAATGACAGATCTTACATACATGTGATTATCGTTTGTGTGGTGAGGAGAAATAGGCATTATATCAGCCTAACATGGATTTTGGGTTGTTATAACATTGTGTCCTAATCTTCCTCGAAGAGACTAGGGTAGCATTCATGATCCTACTGCACTGTCTATTGCAGTCAACTCATGTCTTGCACACATGTAACGTGTGTGATCATAGCTTTATGCGCTTGGCAGCTGGCCAGCTGCAACTGGACAAATGAAACACACGCAAGGTGGAAAGCTTAAAAGCTCTCAGATTTTCTTAGCAGGCTCAGGGAATGTCTCACACAGGCTCTGGAGGCCCTTGTGGGATCTCTCTGGGCCATCTGAAATATCACTACATTTTGCGAAGCCCCCCAGAGCCCACGTAAGATTTTCCCAGAGCCTGGTAAGCAAGGCAGAGAGCTTAAAAGTATCACATTGGCCTGAATATAAGCCTCACTTTTCCCTTCCCCCAAATTCCGACCATGAAAAGTTAAAGTGTGGCTTATATTCGTGATCTTACAGTATGCAGCCAAAGCGGCACCCACCCCGCATGTAGTCCCCTGTCCTCTCCCCCAATGCCGGGAAGGGAGAGAGCGAGGAAGGGGAAAGGCCGCCAGCAACGCAGCACAGTTCCTGCCTCCCTGCCCAGTATGCAGCCAGGAGCAGCGAGGAATGGAGCAGCTTATATTCAGGAATTTTTTCTTTCCGCCCTCCAATTTTAAAGGTGTGGCTTATATTTGGGTGCAGCTTATATTCAGGCCAATATGGTACTTTCTGCAGTGGGAAAACCAGGACACATAAACACCTTGCAATCTCATGCTCATTCAAAGAAGGGGGTTTGTTTCCCTTATCATCCAGCCTATGTTCAGTTGGGGGGGGGGATGTCAGAATCTCCGCTACGACCGGGCTACTCCTCCGGTCGAGCCTTCCGGAATCTCCTCTGACGATGATTAACGACCTGAGCCTTTGATAAGGCTCCAGGCATGTTCCCCATTCTGCAGAGTATCCAAAACAGCAGAAGGGATGAGAAATATGAGCTACATTTCTAGGCTTTATTTCTCACTACGCAGACAGAAAAGAAATATACACGCTCTCTCTGTGAAAGCAGAGAGCAACTGAACAACAAAAGAACAGGAAACCAGTAACATCACACCCGTCTCCCACCTTCTGTGATATTTCCAACAGCCTGGAATCTCTGGAATGCAAAACAGAGTCTTGTGACTCCAAGCACTGCACAGTGGCACAAACAGAAACCAACAGGGGAGAGGGTATGTTCCAGGTATGTGTGTAATGGATCCCATTCTATAATCTACAGTAGGGAACATGTGGTCCCCTGGATGTTGGTAGACTCCAATTTACATCAGTCCCAGCCAACTTGAGCAGTGCTTAGGAATGATGGGAACTGTAGTCCAACAATATCTGGATGGCCGCACAAGTTTCCCATACCTTCTATGCTCACTTCCCTGGGTGTACCACTGAACTTGGTAGGACTTACATCTCAGTAGACCGGACAGGATCGCACTGTCCATGTGTTTAGGACCAATAGACAGGTTGTTTTTAAGTATAAAAAGTAGAATAAATGTTCTTCCCCATGCTTTTTATTTTTTAAATGTTTTTTTATATCTTAGGCACCACTGCCTGGCTATAGATTGCTGCTAAAAATTCTTGTAATACAAGTTCAGGAACCATCCCTTGGATCCAATAGATGTGATAAAGATTGGTTGGAAATTGATGGAATTAGGTGAGCTACAACCTTTTCTGCTACTTTTCTTGAAACAACTCTGTTGACATCCATAGGTGAAGAGTCATTTATGGTTATAGATAATTAAAAAATTAAAAAAGAAAAGGGTTGTAAGTAAAATTAGAATAATAAAAGTTGAAAAACTGACCACATTTTGCCACAATGTAGGGTTGCCATATTTTTAAGAACAAAAAAGAGGACGCTATGGTGACTCTCATTTTAAATACCCCTACTATATGTATGCTATAGAAGCTGTGATATATTGCTGTGGGGGGCAGGGGAAGAGAAGACCATTCATTATGTCTATGTCACATCCAGTAAGTATAGCCGGAGACATTTTGGCAAATTAAAAAAATCTACCCAGACAGAAATTATGCTCCTGGAAAAGAGGACGTGTATTGGAAAATGAGGACACATGGCAACCCTACCACAGTGAGACCAAATTTCAACTGACTCTGAGTGGTTTAACAGCCACCCCCTCTTCCTTCTGAATAATGGAGCTCTGTGAGGGGAACAGGGGTCTCCTAACAACTCTCAGCACCCTTAACAAATTACAGTTCCTAAAATACTTTGGGGGAAGCCATGAATGTTAAAAGTGGCATGATACTGTATTAAATGTATAGCACGGATGAGTCCTTAATCTGGACTGGAATTCTGAAAGTGACAACTGTAACACAATCTGAGTTATGAGAAGTTGTCAAAATGACAAGTTATGATGAATGCAATAAAAGAGGACCAGTCCTGTGCTGCCTGTGATGGAACCTGAGAGACCATAGGATGCTATGGACATCCCTTGCCACAGAAAGATCCACTGCTATTACTCTTCCACTGTCAGTGAGCTGAAGGCAGTGGGAAGAAAAAGGGACGCCTTGGGTCCAAAGACCTCCTGGTTTCTCCATCACCTTCTCACTGCCTTGCCAAACCAGAGAAAGAACTGTGCCAGCCTTGGTGATGGGGTACTTATTTTCCCTTCCATTGACCCTACTCTACACGGAGCAATGGATCCAAACTACAAGAAAGAAGATTCCACCTAAACATTAGGAAGAACTTCCTGACAGTAAGAGCTGTTCGACAGTGGAATTTGCTGCCAAGGAGTGTGGTGGAGTCTCCTTCTTTGGAGGTCTTTAAGCAGAGGCTTGACAACCATATGTCAGGAGTGCTCTGATGGTGTTTCCTGCTTGGCAGGGGGTTGGACTCGATGGCCCTTGTGGTCTCTTCCAACTCTATGATTCTATGATTCTACTTCTACACCGTCCACTATAGAATCTCTCCACCACCATCTTATGGTTGCTCCGCTTGGTTGCAATCCTATACTTACTGACCATGAGGCTTACATCTGAGTAAGCATGCACTGTAGAATGGCACTGTAAATGCACTCTTTGATTAGTTCTATTATAGTGATGTATTATATATCTGTAATTTTGTTGTGTTTTATTCTTATCAGATATTGTAAACCTATTGGGGAAGGCAGCAGGGTCAAGGAATATGGCTATTCAGTGGCCATCCATTTCCATTCAGATGAACTGGTCACACACAGGGGTTTTTATATTGAATTCAGAGCTTTCAGCCACGCAGACCGTAAGTGGACACAGATGCACTTAGTACTAATAGCATTATCATGGTAATTTAACTGATTGAGCATGAGCACATTTCCTCTAGCTTGTCACAAATGTGCCTCCTTCACACCTATGTCTATCCCTATTATGAAGTCAGCAGATTTGAGGCTACAATTAAAAGTTCAACGAATGTTTGATTTTTCGGTTTGCCAGAAAAATGCTTACCCCTAATGATGGGTATACATGTGGGTTGAGGGCTTGTGAATAAACAAATAGTGAAGGTCACCCAAAGTCATCCAGTGAGCTTCATGGCTGTGTGAGGATTTGAACCCTGGTCGCCCAGGTCCTACAGGTCCAACACCCTAACCACTATACCACACTGGATCTCAATGGGTTGGTATCTCTGTGGGTAATGAGGGACTGTTTGGCTGCCTGTAGAAAGACATGGGCAGTGTGATGAGTGACTTAAAAAGGGCTGTTATCAACAAGACACTATTCCATTCCCAACCAAGCTCCCTCTCTCTTAGTGGCAGACTGAAAGTCTGTATTGGGTTACTAACCTGTTAGAAAATATAGTGTAGTCATTAGGGCAACACTCATCCATCCCATGTAAGAAATTGCACTGAAACTCTGTCTCCAGTGACTGTTATGTTCCTTGTGCTGACTCATACCCTTCAGGGAAGGATGAATAATAAATGCTTGGCCAGCCATACCAATAAGTTCAGTGGAGTGCTCTGCATTCACCAACAAAGGTGTCTGAACTAGGGACCTCACCAGCATTCATAACCTTTCTGTGACTCCATGTCAGTGGTCATGCCACCAGACGTTGTCTAGCTGGTACATATTTTAGGTGCAGAGACAAAGGTGGGACACTCTATAGCTAAGATCCTTGCTGTCTTCTGTTTGGGTTAAGAGATGGATGGTGTCAGAGAAGTCTCACTTGGAGATATGGGATTCCTACCTGGATCTATGCCCTGGATCTAGTTGCAGCAGTGGAAATGGGATTCATGAAATCTGTCACCATCCCTGACCATTGGTGATGTTAGCTGGGCTTATGGGAATTGTACTCCAACAATGGGCACCACACAATCCCTTGTCTCAGATTCTGAGATACTGTAAGATCGCATTTGCCTTGTTAGTGCTTATATTCTTCTGGTCGAGTGCTGCTATTGGCTGCAAAATTAGCCAGAACTTCTAGCATGTGCTGAGTCTATAGGAGCATGCTGGGAAGAGATGGGGAAAGTCTAAGGGGTATGTCCATTGCCATTTGACTTTGGTCCTCTGGTACAAGGTTATAGCTATTCTAATATGTTTTCCCCTGTCACCAAAGCGGGTTTGGGACAAATCTTATCCTACTCAGCTGTCATAACAGTACAGAACAGTACAGAGTGACTCAGTGTCATCATGATTATCTATGGTAGTCTGATACTTTTCAATTCTTTCAGCTTGTCCTAGGCAATTTAAATGTTCCGACAAAACATGTGTCTCTTTAAACAGTAGATGTGATGGGTGGAAAGACTGCGCCGATGGAAGTGATGAGGTAAACTGTGGTGAGTTCATCGTGAGCTAATTAGAATATTGTAAATATAGCTTGGTAAGGTATTGGCTGGAAAGAAAACAGCTTGCAGGGTTGATTGGTTGGTTGGTTTTAAACAATCAAACAGTTTATAAATTTTATGACATAAATAAATAAAATCAGAGCCATTAAGCATAAAGAGCTTGAATATCATTACAGGTCATCAGACCCTTCCCTAACCCATTTGTTTATTAAAAATACCTTTCATTTTGTGAAGTGTTTTAACAGCTCAGTCAGGAATTGAGATTCGTTTCATATAAAGAACTTTGAATAGCAAACTAAGCAGTGGTGATGCTAAAGAAAGTAAATTTTCCTGGTCTACTGCATGAGAAGACCATGTTTTATTGGGACATATTCTCATTCCATATTGGTTTAATAGTACTTCCTAGTTTTCAGTCCAGGATTTGGACTTGTTTCAGGTGGGACTACGTCTCTCTAACTGAATTCTAAGGTTGTCAACAATTCCCAGGGTTCATCTTAAAAGAAGCAACGGCAGTGGATATGTGCTTTCTGGGGACATCTGCTGTTGAATGAAACACCACAGTCTTGATGATAAAATTCTTCCCTAGGTTGCAATCCCGTGAAGTCTAATTGTGGTAATGGGAAGTGTAAACACCATTCCAGGCCTTGCAAAGGAGATGGCAGCTGTGAAAGTGAGAGTGATGAGGAGGAAGACAATTGCGGTAAGAACAACATAAACAAATTTTAGACTGGGAATTATGAAAATGCCAGCAATGTAGGGCGTTCTTGCATCATTTTCTCATGGGTTATGTTGATATGCACCATGCTCTTATTTATTGCAGGAACAGTTGGCAGGGAGGGATGCTGCCACCCATCTGGTCTACCATCAGTGGTCTCACTAATGTTTATGGGAGAAAGAGGGGGAGGAGCAAGGCAGGGGTGAGGTTGGTAGCTCAGGCACACTAGCAGAGCTAATCCAGTGCTCTCACTGGTGCATCTGCACAATGTTGACCTCTCTGCTGCTGCATCCCTCCCTCTCTCAGTAAGCACTAAGAATGCCACTGATGGGATGCCAGGTGCAGTGCACTGCCCCTTCCTGACAGCTCTTTCTGATTTATCTTATGCTTGCTTAATGCAATATGCCTAAAACATAAATTATATTTGTTCCCACCACACAGGAAAAAACCCCATTTAGAATCATAGAATCATAGAGTTGGAATAGACCACAAGGGCCATCGAGTCCAACCCCCTGCCAAGCAGGAAACACCATCAGAGCACTCCTGACATATGGTTGTCAAGCCTCTGCTTAAAGACCTCCAAAGAAGGAGACTCCACCACACTCCTTGGCAGCAAATTCCACTGTCGAACAGCTCTTACTGTCAGGAAGTTCTTCCTAATGTTTAGGTGGAATCTTCTTTCTTGTAGTTTGGATCCATTGCTCTGTGTCCGCTTCTCTGGAGCAGCAGAAAACAACCTTTCTCCCTCCTCTATATGACATCCTTTTATATATTTGAATATGGCTATCATATTCCTCCTCTCCAGGCTAAACATGCCCAGCTCCCTTAGCCGTTCCTCATAAGGCATCGTTTCCAGGCCTTTGACCATTTTGGTTGCCCTCCTCTGGACACGTTCCAGTTTGTCAGTGTCCTTCTTGAACTGTGGTGCCCAGAACTGGACACAGTACTCCAGGTGAGGTCTGACCAGAGCAGAATACAGTGGCACTATTACTTCCCTTGATCTAGATGCTATACTCCTATTGATGCAGCCCAGAATTGCATTGGCTTTTTTAGCTGCCGCGTCACACTGTTGGCTCATGTCAAGTTTGTGGTCAACCAAGACTCCTAGATCCTTTTCACATGTACTGCTCTCAAGCCAGGTGTTTATGCGCTTTTCTGAAGACTAATATTCATACTTTTAAAATTATTAAATGCATGAGTACCCAAAGATGTTGCAAGGATGTTTTTTAACAGTCTGTTTTTTAAATCTCCACAATAAGACATTTTGTCCAGGATAAGCACAAAACATCTTTTAGACATGGCAGTGAAAGCAATGAAATAGTGACTGCCTGAGAGTAGTATCTCAAGAATACTGAAGAACGTGTTCTGCAAATGGGGAAAAGTTTAAACATTGTGAACTGTTGTTTTACTTAATCAAAAAGTTTACGTAAGGGCAAACAATTGCCAAGCAGAAAATTCTTGCCGAAACCTTTTTTTAAAAGAAGACTAGCTCCCCTGTTCACTTTGGCCACACAACAGACTGTGCGCACACAGAAGAAGTGTGCGTTGTTTATTGGGCACAAGGTTTCAGAATCAGATCTGAATATCTTTACATTAAACAGCTTTTCCAGTGGCAAAATGGAACTTTTGGCATGTGTAAGTCAAGGATAGAAAACAGATGTTCTTAGACTGCAACTTCAGACAACCTCAGACAGCATGGCCAATGCTAATAGATAATGGAAGTTGAAGTTTCAACAACATCTGGAGAGCACCATGTTGGATAGCCCTGGTCTAGGTTATCGAACATATTGCCAAGACACCTATGAAATTATACATTTAGCTCAGTCAGTAGAGCCTGAGACTCTTAATCTCAGGAATGTGCGTTTCAGTTCCACGTTGGGCAAAAGATTCCAGCATTGCAGGGAGTTGGACTAGATGACTGTCATTGTCCCTTCCAACTCTACAGCTTTGTGATTCTACGTATTTTTAGAAAATGCATTGCTTTAATTATGCTGCATGACCTATGAGGCAGCACCATGAAATGCATCATTGCTATGTTTCTCATCTGTCACTCTATTCTTTCAGCCTATAGAAGCTGCTCACAGCATGCATATAAATGTCTAAATGGAAAGTGTCCAATAAAGCAAAACCCAGAGTGTGATGGAATAAGAGACTGTGCAGATGGATCTGATGAAATGAACTGTGGTAAGTCAATAATGAGTGAACAACGAAGTGAGCTGAAATGTGTCTGTGTATTTCAGATCAGGACTATGTACACACTAATGTGCACATGGAGCTCCTAGGTACCCATTATCTAGGAATATGGTACTTTGTCATCAGTGACATAGCTGCTATATTATCTCTTTGCTCTATGCTCTGTCCTGATGGCACAGGCCTACACTGGAGCTCAAAATCTGTCCAGTACAGTAAGGAGAAGAGGTTCTCATATAGTAATTCCTAAAGGTTGTAGTTTAGGGAGATTGAGAAGAAGAAAAGGTGCCATTACCATGTCTCACTCCAGTTGCTATCAATCTCTTCTACAGGCCACAAGCTCTACCACAACGTGTGTATTTCCCTACATCTCCTCCCTGACCATTATACTGAGGTTCTCATTATTCACAGAGGCCTTACATCAGAGATAGCCAACATAGTGCCTTTGAAATGTTCTTGGACTACATTTCCCATCAGCCCCAGCTACCATGACCAAATAACCTTATTTCAAATCAATTGAACAGGAAAACTTTATCTGAAATAAAAAACCAGTGCCTTGCTCCAATGATACATTGAAGGCACAGGAGAAATCCCCTGCATTGATGGGGGAAAGGAGCTCTAGGAGTTGTCATAACATTTCTCATCATTTAATTGGAAGGAGTAGCTCTATGTGTTCAAAGGGATATGTTGACATGTGTGATTTCTCTGCTGAAGTAAGAATCGGCAAAGTGTGAGAGCATTGCATCCACTGCAAGTCACACATGGCTCTGAAGTAGGGTTTACCCTTAAAGACCTACATTGGCCCCCAGTATGTTTCCGAGAACAATTCAAAGTGTTGGTGCTGACCATTAAAGCCCTAAACGGCCTTGGCCCAGTATACCTGAAGGAGCATCTCCACCCCCTTTGTTCAGCCCGGACACTGAGGTCCAGTGCCGAGGGCCTTCTGGCGGTTCCCTCCATTGCGATAAGCCAAGTTACAGGGAACCAGGCACAGGGCCTTCTCAGTAGTGGCGCCCGCCCTGCAGAACGCCCTCCCATCAGATGTCAAGGAAATAAACAACTATCAGACTTTTCAAAGACATCTGAAGGCAGCCCTGTTTATGGAAGTTTTTAATGTCTGAAGTTTTATTCTGTTTTTAGTCCTCTGTTGGGAGCCACCCAGGGTGGCTGGGGAAACCCAGCCAGATGGGCAGGGTATAAATAAAAAATAAAAATTTATAAAGCTAGTTCCTCAATAAGGAGTGGATAACTTCTGGGTTTCCAGATGTTGCTGAACAACCACTCCCATTACAGGGGCAGACTTCAAGCGGTGCCCTGTGTGAGGTGAATATTTAGTTCTCCCTGTCTCTCATCTTCCATTCTGCTCAATTCACTACATCCTACTTGTGCTGCCCTGTGACACCCCCTAAGCTCTGGGCGTAGTGTGTCAAAATCAGTCATGCTGCCCTCAATGCCCTCTGCCCATCATCCTTGACCATTGACCATGCTGGCTGGAAGTGACAGGAGTAAGAAGTCAACATCTGGAAGGCTTCAGGAACCTAACCCTGTCACAAACCCTTTACATGAAAGATAGATGTCCCAATATATTTGGTAGGTCTTTTGTCCATGTATGTGCAATTGCACTTCTACAGTGCAAATCTAAGCAGATTTACCAAAGAAAATCTAGTTAAACTAAATGGGACTTGTGCCCTAGAAAGTCTGTTCAGGATTGCAGTGCATGACTGGTAGAGTATTTTGTTTTTACATACATAACCTCCCTATGTATTTCATTTTTTTATTAGCATGTGGAAGGAGTCAGGTAAAAAGACCCAGAATTGTTGGTGGTGAAGATGCAAAGTATGGAAAGTGGCCTTGGCAAGCCAGCTTGCAGCTAAAAACATATGGCCATATATGTGGTGCATCTATTATTTCAAATAGTTGGCTGGTATCTGCTGCCCATTGCTTTCAGGACTCTGATTCGATAAGGTACGCATTATATAATGTGAAGCATTCATTACTGATAAATAATCACTGGGGGCGTACAGTAACCACAAGATTTGCCTTCTATGTCTGTAGCACTTGGAGGCAGCCCAGTCTGTTTCAGATCCTCTCTGTGTTGTTCTGATTAGAATCCTTATTTCCAGATTTAATTTTTGCAATGTGCTCTAAGTGGGGCTACCCTTGAAGAGAGTTTGAAAACTGTGACCTGGTCCAGAATGCAGCAGAGCACAGTTGCTGGTGGTTGTTCATGGCTCGACACCATACAACTTAACCATCCTGATTTAAGGAGGAATTGCAGAAATCACAGAATCCAGCTTCTTATTGGATCCTGGAATGTCCCCTTTTTTGGTCCGGTGCTCTGGCACTTGTCAGCTGGCTCTTGCAAGAGCTCGGGACCAAAAACCCCCCAAGCATTACAATTTGGATCACCTGGATGTTGGAGGCTATGCAACACCCATTTCATCAGTCTTGAAAGTGCCAATGCAGTATGGAGTATGCAGTATTAAAGGTGGTAACACTGACATATACACAACTTGGGTCCCAAATATTTGAATGAGTGCCTTTTCTTGCATCAAGCTGCCTGGGTGTTAAAATCAACAGGAGAGGCCATGTTGACAGTATCGCTGCTTTCCCTGGACTGAGAGATGAAGATACAGAAGAGGGCCTTCTCTGTGGTGACCTAGGTTGTGGAATGACCCTTCCCCAAAGGTGTATTTTGTGATAGCTTGAGGGTTTTAAAAAAATGATTGATCAAGATCTAGGCCTTGGGCTGAATGGAGTCTTCCTTCCTGCAGGATTGGTGAACTGTGCTGTTGCCCGCTTTGGTTATTTTCTTAGTTTTGTTCTTTTATTTTATGATTTTATTAGAACTTGAATGTGTTTTATGTGGAGTTTTGGGGGGGTGGTTTGTTTTGTTTTTTTAGTAACCTGCCTTTTGAACAATTTGGTGAAGGCTGAGCTAGAAATACAAATAATAAAATGAATAATTTATGCAATTCCCATTCAAATGAATGAGACCCATATAAGAAGAGCACATGGAAAACTGCATGTTTTGTTGTTTTTCAGATACTCTATAGCATCTGGCTGGACAGCATATATGGGTATAAAGGTCATTAACAGAAACAATGATAATCATGTAGCGATGAGATCGATCAAAAGGATCATTGTTCACCCACATTATGACCAATATATCTCAGACTATGACATTGCCCTGTTGGAAATGGAGTCACCAGTATTCTTCAATGAGCTGGTACAGCCCATATGTTTACCAAGCAGTCGTAGACTATTAATTTATGGAACTGTCTGCTATGTAACTGGCTGGGGAGCCGTAAAAGAAAATAGTATGTTCATTTCTGGATATGTTTATTGCAAATGCCAAGCATCCTAATATATTGTACCTTTTTGTGGATTGTAAATGTGAGCCACTTTGGGATCCATCCTTGGCTAAAAAGTGGAGTATAATGAATGTAATAAATAAATAACGTTAATAGAACTGAAGGTATATGGCCTAGCTCAATTGGATATCACTTGTGGCAATTCTAAATACATATCCTCAGTGACAAATGATGGAACTCTTTAATTTCAGTTTATTCTTAGAGGATAGTAAATTTAAGATGCCACTAGGAAGGTAATATGCTTAGATTTGGAAATGTTCAATTAGATTAACCTTTATTCAGTTTAATTCACCATGTGCTGTGCCAATCGTTTTTTATTCTGGGAACATATAGGCAAGGAAAAGTTAAAAGATCTAAGGCAGATCTTGATTATTATTTTTTTCACCTCTCACTTTGCAATCAGAACCATCATACTCAACCCATGCAACGTTTCTGTTGTTGTAGGTGAACTTGCAAAAACACTGCAAGAAGCGAAGGTGAAAATAATTGATCAGAGTGTTTGCAACAAGCTTTATGACGATCTGATTACTTCTCGGATGCTGTGTGCTGGGAACCTTAATGGTGGCATTGATGCATGTCAGGTAAAGTGGAAAATGATTGTGAAAAGTGACACTGATTTGTACATCGGTCCTTTCAAAATTATTTTTTCCAGGAATGTTTTCTTATTCCCATAGAAAAAAGACATTAGACATCTCTGGGTTGGATCCAGACTTAATCAGAGTAGACCCACTGAATTTATTTTGAAAATTAGGTAGGATAGAAGTTTCTTATATAAACATAACCACAATGATATCAATGGGAGTTAAGTTAGTCATGACTAACTTAAGTCCCATTGATTTCAGTGGGCCTACTCCAAGCATGACTAGAAAATTATCTGAGGTGTCCATTAAAGATTCTTTAAATATTATTTTCTCAACTTTTAATTTCAAGAATACTTGCATTCAAATCCTAAATGAGTACCAATTTGTACTGACATACGCCTTCTTGAGCCATATCAATCTTGACCCAGTGGCGTAGCGTGGGGGGTGCAGGGGGGCCGGCCGCACCGGGCGCAACATCTGGGGGTTAGGGTTAGGGGGCGCAAATCCACAGGTTAGGGGGCGCAAATTACTTGCCTTGCCCCGGGTGCTGACAACCCACGCTACGCCACTGCCTTGACCTCATTCCTTTCTGCCTTTGATGTTGGAGTAAAATAAAATAATATCTGAGGCACATGCAACATACACCTACATATTAACCCAATCTCCCGGATCTCTGAGGCTATGTGGAAGCAGGCTTCCTCATGGTGACTCTCTTCCCAATCCTGGCTCAAGTTGTGTACCTGTAAAAGCATGTTGTCTAGACTGCAGTAGTATCTTAGTTGGGAATCCGACACATTGTGCCAAACAGTGTTAACAACAACACCACTAATCACAGGAGTTCAAGCATTCATTTAACCAGTCACACCCATCAGGGAACAAGTATCATCTAACACCATGTGAACCTGATAGACAATATATCGTCAGACCACAATTGCACATGGTGACTTACGGGTGTTGGGAATGACTGTATAAGAATTGATAAAACAGCACAAATGTGAAAGTGTGTATCATATCACAATCCTAACTGCAAATATGCATTAGTTATGCAATGAAGCAAGAAGTGAGGCTTCTGTTCTTCCTTTTAGGGTGACTCTGGAGGTCCATTAGCCTGTTTAGGAAGAGGGAACAGATGGTACCTTACAGGCATTGTCAGCTGGGGTGAAGGATGTGCTCGACGGAATCGCCCTGGCGTTTACACTAAGATCACAACACTTTATGACTGGATTCGTCAATACACAAAATGACAGATGAGTTCTGGAGAAAGCCAAAAGTATGCGCACATTCTTACTGATGAACCAAACAGGATTTATACTATGATAAAGGAGAAACATTACAGATATATTTTGTATGGGCATATGGAATATATATAAAATTTAAGCAGGCAAAAATCAGTGAATGTTTCCCACTGCAAAGAGCAATATGAACACAACCACAAGGTTTATTTCACTGTCTTTGTTGATTTTCTCGGTGTTCCATCAACAGGGATGGGTAAATGGAGTAGCACATTTGATCAGTATCTGCCTGCAAGTATTTTGATGCAGCTTCTGCTTTGCATTAGCTTTGATCTTGCTTTTGATGATTTGCTGTTAATAGGCATGCAGGCTTTCTTCTTCCCTGACAACAAAAATTGTCCATTTCTGAGATGTATGAAGACCTTTGGAAGATACCAAATATGCTGAAAATAAAGGATGCTTTAATTTTTGGGATGGGAATTAGAGACTGATGAAGCTTCAATTTCCCTTCTCTGTCAGTTTCCAGAAGGTGGTTGTGTCGGTTGGCTGCAGCAAAAACATCAAAAACTCTTGCAGCATTATAAAGGCTAACAAGTATAAAGTTTCACAGACAATATCCCACTTCATCAGATATTTGAAGTGTTATCCTGAGTTACAAGTCTATACATACTAATTGTTGGAAGAAGAAGGGGATTATAAACAGGGAGGCCAAAGGTAAATGAAATGCAGAATGCAGTGATGAGTTATTTTAATAAGTTACCACTGTCTGTTCTTCCTACATTTCATTTTCTTCTGAAGCCACGGTGGATTTACACCTGTTACCTAGGCTAACATTTTGATACAGTGAAGAAGTGGGCTGTTAGCCTACAAACGCTTATGCCATAGTAAAATGGTTGGTCTTCAAGGTGCCACAAGATTCTTCATTCTTTCAGAATTCCTGGTATTATTTTGCTCTTCTCAGTGGACTTTTTAACCATCTATTCACCCACCCATCATCACCTCCTGGTAATATGAGTGTTAGGCTAGATAAGGAATTGTATAGGACCTTTAGCTAACTGTGTAACAAGTTAAGCCAAAGAGATTGTTCCATCAGTTTGAGTGAAAAGTCTGTTCAGCATCCTTGTTTTGTCAAGTTCCTTATGTACAATCAAACTATGTCCTTCCTGCTAGCATTTAGAATCACTTTCATTTCACTGAGACTATTCACATGACACCTTGTATTTAAGTTCCCTCTTTCTAATTTTGTTTGTAAAGCACAGCTTCTGGCCTGGCAAATGTAATCTAAATCACCAGTAGCTCTTAGAATGCCAGTGTGATATGTTCCATGATTTGAAGGCATAGGAGGCAGCAAGCTTGTTGAAGATAAGTAGGTCTGAATGTGGTCAGTTCCTGGAGAGGAAACGACCTGGGAGCCTTATACACAAAAGCAAGGGAGGTTGAGAAGCAAAGCAAGAGAAAATAAAAGCAAAAGGACTTCACCAGAGGACTGTGGCTGTAAATGTTTATTTATAACCTGCCTTTCTTTCGCCACAGAATGCAAAGCAATGTACACACACTTCAGAACATAAGAGCCTTGCTGGAGCGGGACAAAGGCCCATCTAATTCAGCATATGGTTCTCACAGTGACCAACTGAAGGACTGTGGGAAACCTTGAAGCTGGATCTGAGTACAAGAGCACTCTCCTGCCTGGTGGTTTCCAGCAACTTATATTTAGAAGTATACTGTCTCTGATGGTGGAGGCAGAGAATAGCCATCATGGCTAGTAGTCCTGTCCTTTCCTTTAAGGGTGGGTAGTTCTTCGGGTTGTGTGTGCTTTGAATGATACTGAATATGCCAAGAGGCAACTGCCCCCTCTTACACCTCAGTAACTTTGCAAGCAGAGGTGGATTTAAGACATGGAGCCCAGGGGGCACCGTAACTATGTTGGAGAGTGGAAGGTGAGAGGTGGGGCGGGGCGAATTTTGGGATTGCACAGGGAGCTGCTGAAATTTGAGACCCCCAAGGTCTGCCACTGCTGGAAGACTACAGAAAGAGAAGAGTGCCTCTTCTTTTGGATTTCAGATATAGAGGGATGTTGACATGGGCAGACATTCCTTAAACAAAAAGGGAGCATATTGGTGTGAAGGGAATAGTGAAAGAAGAATATCAGATCAGTGAGCAAACATATCTAAGATTATGACTAAGATTATGGTATCCTCCCAAATAAACATAAAGGATACCATGGACAAATTTGCATCGAGAGAAACTAAGATGTAATGTTCAGTTGATAGTGATGATTCAGAAGAAATTATATGCCACCTTTCATTTCAAGAAGATTCCCATTGCGTTTACAAACAAATAAAAGCCAACAGCAAAATAATGAGTATAAATACAGCTAGTCAAGATTAAAATACACAAAACAGCTTCATCTAAACATGAAAACATCCATTAATTAAAATGTGCAGCAAACAAGCCCATTAAAACAGTGTAACAGTTACACTAGTTAAAAGACCAATCAAAAGAAGAGGTTCTATTTAGGAGATCAGGGGAATATTTGCTTAAGCAGGTGTGACTTTGAGAGACAGGGGAATGGTAATATTTCAGCAGGAAGAGAAATTCACAACACTGGTGTCACCAGTGAAAAAGCCCACTACCATGTTACCATAAGCCAAAAATCATTAGGTCATGGCAAATATAATCAGGTTTCATTTGTTGATCTAAACGTCTTTGCTGGTCTTTCGGGTAACCCTGTTGCAAAGTTGCTTTAAATGCAAGTAACAGGATTTTTAAAGTGGTTTGGTTTTAATAGGTAGCCAGTGGAGATCCTTCAGCAATGGTGTGTGACATGCACCACCTGGGCTGCATTATTCTGCACCAGCCACAGTCTGCCCCAGGCAAAAGCGAAGCCCCACATAGAACACATTGGAAAAGACTAAACAGAAGGACACCAACACATGTGCCACAGTGACTACATTATTCCTGACTGGAAAATGACACAGTTTGACACACCAGCCGAAGCTGGGGGTAGGGGCTCTTCACCATGGAGGCCACCGGGAACCCCCATAGACAGCGGTGATTTCAAAAGCCCCTCTAAACAGTTGAACAGTCAATGTTTCCAAATGAATGCATGCCCTACCTACCATATTTTTCACTCTATAAAACGCGCCCGACTATAAGATGCACCTAGTTTTTAGATGAGGAAAACAAGAAAAAAAATATTCTGAATCAATTGTTGTTGAAGAGGCTTTGCGCAGCTATCCCTGAAGCCAGAACAGCAAGAAGGATAGCCGCACGAAGCCTCTTCAGCACAGCTATCCCTCTTGCTGTTCTGGCTTCAGCGAAAGCAACGCAAAGCCTCTTCAGCGCAGCGGGAGCAACGCTGTGCAGGAAAGCTGTGCAGCCTGCCTTCGCTCCATAAAACACACACACATTTCCCCTTACTTTTTAGGATGGAAAATGTGTGTCTTATAGAGCAAAAAATACGGTATCTTCCAAGGTTGGTGTTGGAAAAAACAGTTTTTCAGTTGGTGATGGGGCTAATGAAAGTGAAACAGTCTGATTTTTTTTGAGATGGAAGTAACTTTGGGGAATTCAAAGGGCTTATATAATAACTATTTATACAATAAGTATGGCTAATCTGTGGTGTTGGACTCACATCAGTTCTAGCTCTCGGAGGGTCAAAGGTGACCTGACCTTGCTATACAGGCTGCCTAAGTATCTGCTTGTTCCTCTACATTCAACTTGTTAAAATAAAATAAAATAACCAACATCAAGCATTACGGGAGCACTACATGACTTGTCAACATTAGCCTTGTAAACACCTGCCACTGTGACTTCCTCCTGCTCAGGAAGTGGTGAGTACGAAAAATGTAGAGCCGTAACATAGCAATAAACAGATAAATAACAGATGAGCGATATACTAAGTTATACTGAAGCTAAAGAACCGTGAATGAACTCTGGACATCCAGGTTATGTGGAAAAGTGAAGCAACACATTAGCACAGTTAATGATTCATCTGCAGTTTCACCTCCTGAGCTATAACAGAGAATATTCCCACATTTTCTCCTGTCTGGTTAAGAAAGAGCCAATGGAGAGTGAAAGGGACTAAACACTAAAAGAAAACAAAAGAAAATTCCGTTGGAAAGATAATAGGTTCCAGGCACACATTAAAAGATTGCAGCTTCAAAGTGAATTCAGAATTTCAGGCTGCTGGACTGCATAAACTTAAGGTATTTAAGATTTAGATTCTTCCTTTACATGTATACTCAAATAAATGTGATGACAAATGCTTTTTTATTTTTTAAATATCCTTGTGTTTTGTCATTTTTCCTTAACTTGACCTATTTTGTCTAATTCAATATAGTACAGCTTTGATGCCCTAGGTAGTATTACATCTGCACAGCTCAGTACTATAAACTCACATGTACACTCACACAGTGTTGTAGCCAAAGTCAGCAATACTCAGAGTGGGCCCACTGAAAGAAATGGGAATTTCAATGAACCTACTCTGAATAGAACTTAGTTGGATACAACCCACCCACATAATATTGTGTGTTGTGTACTTGGGTAATTAACCTGAGTCATGGAAGGTGCTTTCCATGTGAAAATACCACTGTATCAGAATCTAGAGTTGTCTGACAAAGCCTAAGAATCTTCTGGGAAGAGATGCAAGACTTTTCTTGTTTAGATGAAAGCCAAGGATGCAGAAAAGTGACTTAAGTGTATTATGCAAAAAAGGACCAACAATGTAATCCTACTCACATTTACTCAGAAGTAAATCCCATTGAGTTCAATAGACCATCGTCTTGGATAAGTGTGTATCAGGGCTACAGCTTAAACTGTGTGCATTTTTAGCTAATATACACATTTCTACATAGCATATTTCCCCGATACAATGCCTTTGTGTTGTGTGTGTGTGTGTGTGTTAGTTCAATCCATTCTGAAAATGTCCAGAGTTGGTAACGGTTTCTGGAGGAAACAGCATGAACATCCACATCAACAGCAACTATGTCATAGTTCTATTTGTTTTCCATAAATACCATGTTTCATTCCTTCTGAGTCTGAACCTCAGAGAATAGCATCAGTCAGGAATCGAAAAGAAATAAATTATGTAATGAATAAAATGTTATCCAGCTCTTTCAAATTCCAAAGTCTGCATTTGCTCCACAGGTACTTGGTGGTAGTGGTTGTTGTTGTTTTGAAACTACAGATGTGTTCCCAAAGATCCCCACAGGGCTTTTAAAGCCCTTTGGAGGAATGGAAATTAAAACTAATTTTGGTAAAAATCAAAAACAAAACAGAAACCTGTTGTATATGACATTTTACTGGGTTTATTTTAAATGGCTCTGACAGAATTTAAACTCCATGTTTCCTATTGAGCTTATGGAAGTTTTAAAGAGTAGTGTTGTCATTTTCAAACTAGGGCTTCTGTGGGAACAGGAAACTATTTACCATAAGTGGTGTAAATAAAATGTCCTCATCTGGATTGCAACATAAAATGAATTGAGCAAAAAGTGACTCATATCCATTACTTGAAAGGACTGGTTAACATCACTGTTCATTTTGGGATGGTCCACCATGTGCATGGTGAACACAAACACAAATGCACTTAGGTCAATGCTACACCTGCCATAGGATGTCTAATGTTTCTCAGAAAGATGGTTGCAAATTCACCAGTGATCCAAGTGAGCGGTGATCGTATTTATTCTCACAGGACCCCTGGAAAAGACCACCTGAAATGATCAAGATAACAGGAAGGGTATAGTGCAATCACATAAATATTTGTGATTTCACTATTGTAATTATATATAACATAATTGTTATATAATCAGTGCAACAGTGCACCCCAACTCTTGACAAAAAAGAAAAAGGTAGACTGACCACAAAAATTGCATTTCTCTTGGCCAGAAGGATAACTTCCTATTGCAAACCACCTTTACCCTGATGCAACCATGCATGGGGCAGGACTTTCAAACCATTGCAATAATGAGGGTGAGGGAATCATAGAGCTGTGGAGTTGGAAGGGATCCTCAGGGACATCTAGTCCAACCCTTTGCAATGCAGGAATACTTCCCCCAGCTGTACCTGAGTGGGCTCGAACCACCAAACTTCCGGTTAACAGCCAGACACACTGACCCATTGTGCCACCTCTAAGAAGACCAAAGGTAGTTGTCCATGCTTCTTCCTCGTCTGCTGATCTGAAATCATGTATCGGTAACAGGGCTAGATGTCTGTATTTTGGTTGTAGGAACCGTGGGGTGGAGTCATGTGTGCAACAGCACCCATTTGTATTTAGAATTCTTCATATATCCTTGTTCCCTGGCTGGTAGACTGGCCATGTAAGATTTATCAAAAAGAAAAGAAAAAGGAGGAATAAATGCATTATTAGAAGAGAGGAGAAAAGGTTTGTATTAGTGTGTGTTAATTTATATGTCTGAAATGATGCAAATTCAGAAATAATTCCTATAATTTAAACAGAAACGTGTCTCACTATAGTATGGAAGACAAAGAACAGGTGACCCACGTGGATTTGGTGGTGTCCAAAACTGACCGTTGCATAATTTCAAGTCATCCTCTGTTTCTTTATATCTTTAAAACTGGATTCGGCTGGACAGAACTTTGGCTAGAGGACTGCTTGAAACATAGGCTTCTCCCCTGATAGCCTCACCGGCAGGTCAGAGCACTTTAAGTTCAAACATACATCTAATATTGAGCTCAATGGCATTTCCGAGCACAATTCAAAGTGTTGGTGTTGACCTTTAAAGCCCTAAACACTCTCAGCCCAGTATACCTGAAGGAGCGTCTCCACCCCTATCGTTCTGCCCAGACACTGAGGTCCAGCGCCGAGGGCCTTCTGGCAGTTCCCTCACTGTGAGAAGCAAAGCTACAGGGAACCAGGCAGAGGACATTTTTGGTAGTTGTGCCCACCTTTGGAATGTCCTCCCATCAGATGTCAAAGAGATAAACAATTACCTGACATTTAGAAGACATCTGAAGGCAGCTCTGTTCAGGGAAGTTTTTAATATGTGAAATTTTAATGTATTTTTAATCTTTGTTGGAAGCCACCCAGAGTGGCTGAGGAAGCCCAGCCAGATGGGTGGGGTACAAATAATACATTATTATTATTATTATTATTATTATTATTATTATTATTATTATTATTATTATTAATTTACTTCTGGGTGGACACGCTTTAAGTTTAGCTTGAACTAGTCACTGTGAAGTTGAAGATGTATAACTATAGTCTCAGATGACATACCTTTACAGCCATGGAAACCAAGTGTGATATCTCAATAGTAAGAAACAGACACTAAAGTTGCAATAATAAACTCACTTACCCAGGAATAAATCCCACTGAAGTCAATGGAGCTTACTTCTAAGTAGACGTGCAGAATATTGTGTTATTAACCCTTGCAACAGTACTCTAATGTTACAATTCTGCATTTGTTTATTCAGAGGTACTGTAAGTGCCATCATGTTTGATGCGACTCAAATAAGTCTGCATAGGAGTTCAGCCTTAATATTATATTTCATTCTTTCCCAGTTGGCTTAGTAGGGCCAAGTCTATATTTACAAAATTCCTTCAAGGAATTAATGATCAAATGTTCTTTGAAAATGCCAGGGTTCTCCTGGGGTCCTTTAGGCAAGATTCTTATCTAGATATATGTAGTTATTAGTCTAGCAATTAGCCACTGTCAGACAAAAGAAGCTTTGTATATAATTTGAATTTTTCCAGCTCTCACCTACAATCACGGTTTTTTGTGCTAGCGTTCTTTGATATCTAAGAAGGCCATCCCTGTCAAGGATCTAGTTTCATTCTTGTACAAGCATGAGCTTTTATTTGTCACTCCAGCAAGGGCTGGGCTGCCTCAGGTTATATTACCTGCTTGTGTCTGCAGAAGGCAGGCTTACCAAACTGGAAAATCCAGCCTTTCTTTGCACAACCCTCAAACGAGACTTTGCATTTCCCGAACGCTGATAAAACTGGGACTTCTCGACTTTTACGTATGTTGATTTTTCCAAGAGCTCACTTGAAATCTAATTTTTGATTTTGTTTTGAAGCATTCCAGTCTACCGTCCTGTTTCAGGGGCACAGGATATGGGACACGGGAACAATAGAAACTTTTCGGCTCTGGCGTGTTATCATCAGAAACATACCCAGGGCTGAAAATGCAGAGGAAGTTAGTTTTTCCTGCTCACATGTCCTGTGTTGAAAAGTTCTTCACGGGGAATAAGAAGCAATGAATGGCCATGAGACCATTGATTTACCAGCACTAAGCAATGAAGAACGGGAGCATGAACCTCTGAATCCTGAAGCTCATAATCAGGTAAGCCACTGAATTATTCACTTTCCGTTTGGTAAAAGTGTGTTACTACAATTAACCTGCATTGTTTCAGAATAATAAAGAATTCTCTTGGGACAGGCTTTGACTTTAACAGTTTTAAAGGTGTGGTGTGTGTGTGTGTGTGTGTGTGTGTGTGTGTGTTTCACACAGAGAAATTGGAAAATTCAGTGTGAAACACCCCCATTTAACAGATACAACACCTGTTTCTCACTAAGAATACCAACTTATCAGTTTCAGGGGCGCAGCGATGCATGAATCAGCCAGTTTCGGTTTCTCTCACTTCCTCATTTTTCTAATCTTAATCCTGCCACATTTCCACATCAGTTTGCAACTTTTTAAAAAAGTTGTCGTGAAAATTCACCAGCATTTGCGTGTGTGTTCTCTTAATATACACATCCATGCATTCAGTTTTATCTAACGTACACATTTTTTGGCAAGCGGTTTCTCAAAATATAATAGATTTTTGTGTGTTGTTTAATGCACACTTTCTCCTAGAGTACTGCAAAACTTTGTTCCCCAATCCACAAAGTTGGCACATGTGTCACAATCTAGCTTCAGTGAATTCCTGGCTTACTGAAGACCTTTGATTCAGTTGCATCCATTTCCCATTTCCTTACAAACAGTTAGTCAGTAGATTTTAGCTTTGTGAGTGTGCAGTTTTGAGTACTCTACATCTACTTTCCTGGACTGGAACCTTAAATGATTCACTCACAAACGACTGTGTTCTTACAATAATCATGTTGCCATGGTCATTTTTTTTTAACCCTTCATTATCAAAAGTATTACATTTATGTATGTTATGTATATATGGTTTTCGACTAGTAAAACCAAGGTGGGTTGTGATTAGTTTACAATTAAGCCCTATGTATGTCTGCTCAGAAGCAAGAGCCAACAAGTTCAATGGGACAGGTAAATGTCTCTAAGGTGGCTGCTTTAAAAGAGTTATCACTCTCCCCCATTCATTAACAGTTCTTAGAGTGGGGGGGGGGAGAGAATCTGCACATAAATAAAAGATATACCCTATACTTTTACAAGTTCAGATATTAAAATTCAACAGGCTAACAACTATCTCAGTTCTCAAAGTGTTGCTTCTTATAAAGCAAACAATAATACACAAACGCTATCAGCAGGTTGAGGTGATCCCCAAGGCTTGCTGAAGTACAAACAAATCTTGGGGGGGGGGGACCTAACATGTTGGGAAGGCGGGAATCTGGTGAGAAGAGGGATGGAATGGAGTATTGTGGGGGAAGCAAACAATACGGTCAACAGTACAATGTGTGATCAGTGCACTCAGGCACTCAACACTGCAACATTTCATTGCAGGTCTCAGTTGCTAAAATAAAATGTTTAAATCTGCATGTGATTTATTCCTAGGTAGTCACACACATGTTGCAACTCTAATTTTTTTGTAATGTGATGTGCTCACTATCATATTTATGGCGCAAGAACATGGATTTCAAAGGCTACAGCTATTCACACCTGAAACTGTTGTAACCCTATCGCTCTTTATTCTCAACAAAGAAGGTGCTGGTTTAAGCAAGCATGCATGTGATAGCAAACATCCTGCTTAGCAAACACAGATGTTTACTAAAGGTGTAACAGTTAGCTCTTCAAGCTAGGAACTTAGTATGACAGCTTCTACTTGTTGAGTTCCGAGCTCCAACATCTCCTTTTGGGGTTTCCAATATTGTTATAGACTTGGGGGTAAGAAGAATGATGCTCTTGAGATGTTGTTGGACTCCAACTCTTGTCAGTCCCATCCAGCATGAGCAATGGCCAGGGATCATGGAAGCTGTAGTTCAACAACATCTAGAGGCATCGGTTACCTTGATCTACAAGGTCAAATCTAATACATGTGTATTGGAATAATTCAATTAGAGATTGCTTTCAATCTTTCACATAATTTATTAACGTATTTCCCCCCTTTTACTCTTTTATTTTGACAGACACCAGCCTACTTCAAGTCATGTTTTGAAACTGTTTTTTGGAAATGCAAGCTGTGGATGATTTTAACTTCCGCTTTTCTGGTGTTGATTCTTGTGACTATTCTAAGTTTAGTTTTCTATTCAGGTATGCACCCTTCTTCCAATATGAAATGACATCAAAGTTATGTAGGGAGAGCTATTCCCCACCATGGTCTCAAGTTACTTGTGACTAACAGGGCAGTCCTTATATGATGTCTACACCAAAGTAAGTCCTACTGAGTTCAATGGGCTTTACTTCTGGGTAAATGGGTATAGGATTGAATCTGAATTCCCACTGAAAAGCAATAGGACTTAATGTAATCATCTAGTTGGGACTTCTATGGCAGCGTACACACCATACCTTTTAAGGACACACATACCCAAGAATCCTGGGACTTATAGTTTATCCCCACAGAGCTACCCTTTGCAAACTACAGAGAACCCTTTGCAAACTACAGTTCTCAGGATTATTGGGGGGTGTGCTTTAAATGTAGAGTGTGTATACTGACAGTGTTTTTATGATAGTTCTATGTGAGGAGGGGGTACTCCTGTGGATTAGAAATGGCAAAGAATTTAAAACCAGCATTGCCCCTGCAGTTAGACATTTATCTGAAGACTTGGATCAAGGCTCACCTCTGCCTTGAACTTCTTATGTGATCTTGGGCAATGTCTCTCACCTTTCTCCATCTATGAAAGAAAAATTAGGATTCCTCCTCACAAAGCTGTTTTGACAGGCATAGGCAAACTCGGCCCTCCAGATGTTTTGGACTACAACTCCCATCATCCCTGACCACTGGTCCTGTTAGCTAGGGATGATGGGAGTTGTAGTCCCAAAACATCTGGAGGGCCGAGTTTGCCTATGCCTGTGTTTTGACTATGAGGCAAAACTGACAAAACATTCAAAATTTAACATGTTGGTTTAAAAATGGCTTTCAGACTTATTCAGTTTTCAACACATTTTTATTTCTTTGGGGGTTATAGATCAACACTAAGAGTGAAACATGTTTATTACACATAAAGTGTGTGTGTTTTCATAAAACGGATAAGTGTTAATTTAAATTCCCCTCCAGAGCACTGTGATCCCAGTCTGAACTTTCACCACAGCTGCTTTATTTATATAGAGCACATGATGCTATTCATCCTATGCACTGTGTCTAGTTAGGTCCCAAGAGATAGCTGTGTCTGTATGCTGTGAAAAAGAGGCACCACCAGTGTCTGGGTATGCTAGCATTACTTCTGCTTTGAATTTGGCCCTGGGTGTAAATGTAAGCATGTCATCGGCATGTGTATTGAACATTCACTGAACATTCAATTAAAAATGTTAAAGGGGGATAGCATGAAAGAGCCTAAATGCGTACAGACTGTACATATACTTAGAAAACTTTTCAAAGACAAGGTCACTGGTTTTATTTATTTGCTTCACATGTTTTCCATGCCTCTTTTTCAAGAATCTTGATCATGTGAATTGAATTTTCCATGTGCAGTTTGTATGCACATAGACTCATCTGTGCTTGAATGCAGGTATATGGCTGGGCATAAAGCCATCATTCTACTCTCTGCCCACCCACTGCTGTCATAGAATGGGCTGTATTTGCAAGGTTCCTGCACTGAGCAAGAAGTTTGTCTAGATGTCCTCCAACTCTAATCTCCTATGATTTTGCAACAGCCCACAGCCCAAACCACTGATCTTGGTTTAATGAAATTGAAATATAGACATGCGTTTCATCTCGTTGAGAGGAAGGTGTTTATTGTTATTGCTATTGTTGTTATTGTTGTTATTATTATTTAGAATCACTATATGATGAAAAATATATTGGCTAGCTTGTGAGAGTTACTACAAATACTTTTTATTATTATTCTAGCAGTTTACATAGATGAAGATGACTACTGGGACCCTGAATCAATAGAAAATGGCAGTCTTCATAATTTCACAGGGATATTAAAAATTCACTGTACTAATCCTGACCTGGAGCTCTCAGAATCAGCATTTAAGTTGATTTTTGAAAATCTTAGTAAGAGGGTAAGTTTTCCAGCTAAAGTCCCATGGTGGTATCCAGTGACATCATTGCACAAACTGAACAGTTTCTGCTGGTGCAACAGAACTCCCTTTACGTCTCCTGTATTTATTCATTCTGCCACTTCATCCTGCATTGAGCAGTATGTTGGACTGGATGACCTTCAAGGTCCTTTCTAACTCAAATGATCCCATGATCTCACACATGAACATATTTTCTGTCCCATTCTTATAAGGCACAAGAGCCTCATCCTTAGGAGATGGGCCATAGGTCAGTAACAGAGCATCTGTCATGTATGTGGAAAGTCCCAGGTTCAATACCAGGCATCTCCAGATAGGGAAGAGAATGGCCCTCTGTCTGAAAGCCTGGTGAGTTACTTCCAGTCAATATAAGGAGGGAAAGATGGGACAGTCATCTCCTCCACGCCATACAATCTCCAGATAGGAAATTATCATGTGCAGTCATTTCTTGGAAGTTTGTTTACACACACACACACACACACACACACACACACACACACACTGTGCAGCCACAAAGCTGCTCTAAACAAACCAAAATATTTAAAAGGTTGAAGAAATAAGGAGGCAGCCCTAGGACCAGTCCCTAAGCACCTCCCTCCCTCTTTGTAAAAGTGGGTGGATTTGTCCACCCGTCAACAAGCAAACATGGAGCCAGTTCTTGGGGCAATGAAATCTGTTCAGAATGGCTCTGTGGTGAGCCATCCATCCTTAACTGTTGCTTGAGGTGGCAACAATGAGCCAAACAAGGTCTCCATTTTGAATAGAATATTCCAATGAGACCATTCTTGTGTCATGATGCGTTGTCCAGGAGCACCAGCTCTATGGGGCCAAGGTGTTTTTGCCCCCCCCAATATCTGCTAGGAGCCCCTCAGTGTTGAGGGGATGGAGGAGGGCCAGTGCTGAGCTGAGCACAGCACAGCTTCAGTGGTTGGCTCCTGAGTGCGAGAGAGAAGGAGCCACCAGCCATTGAAGCTGTGTCATGCTGGGATTCACACTCAGCCTCCTCCCAACGACGCTTGTTGTGCACATGCGCGCAGTCCACTAGGACCCCTCAATCTTGGGTGCAAGTCAGTGCCTCTGGTGTTGTCGTTCCCAGGATCATTCTTGGGGGAAGAAAATGACTCCTCTCATTGCCCAAACAGGTCAGCTGCACGCCCCCCCCTTCCAGGAATGTCCCTGGGAATAATATGATGCAGTGACAATTGCACCAGGGCCTTCTAAACTACACGAAGCCTGGTCCAACTGATGGTGGTATTTTCATTGTTCATCCCTTGGGTAACCTGGTCAGAATGTTAAGACAACATTTCCCTCCTTAGAAAAGCAGGAAGGATCGCTACTTGGGAACTAGTTGGGAAACAAAAGTGATAGGAAGGTGTATTTTTGCCTTCAAGTAAGGAAGGCAGGATGTAATTTAGGCAAGCAAAATGTCAGAAGGAGACTTACTATTTATCTAAAGTAATTTGTAACTCTGTAGATGACATTTCTGAAATGTTATAACCCATAATGTCACGGAGTGTCATGGAGAATAGCTAAACAATATCAATGCAATGTACAATATCAGCAACCAGTGTGGTGCAGTGGTTAGTGTGTTGGTCTAGGACATGGAAGAGACCTGGGTTCATAGTCTTTGTTTGTTTGTTTGTTTGTTAAATTTGCATACCACCCTTCATCCAAAGATCACAGGACAGTTCACAACATAAAAATACAAAATGAAAACACATGAAGCCCAGTTGTTGACCTTGGGCCAGTCACTGTCTCCAAACCCAACCTACTTTATAACGTTGATGTGAGGAATAAACCAAGAGGATGAGAACCATGTACACCACACGGAGCTCCTGAAAGAGACATAAACACAATAAATAAATAGATAAGTGAATAACATGTGTCAGTAATTAATGTCTTCTCTCTCAAGCTTACAGATGTATACAGTCATTCACCTGCACTTGGACGGTATTTCGTCATGGCTGAAGTTGTTTCCTTCAGGTAGGAAAGGGGAGTCAGCTCCAAGGATTCAGTTATGTGATTTAGAACACCTGAAACTGAATGGGGGGAAAATGTGTTGAGAAAATTTTAACACAGTCCATATTTGATTTCTTAAAATGTTCAGTCCAGGTTTTTTTTAATTGTTTCTTGGTGGCCCTGTTTTGGCTCTACTTTGTCAGCACTCACCACCTGTTGTAGGGTTACCATTTTCTCCCAAAGTGAAAATCCGGACTTTTTTTGTTGAAGTTGTTGAGCTTTTGGGAGGAACACGGCACCCCCCCATTTTTTTGTTAGCCCAACTTGCCAATTCAGCAAAAATCTGCCAGGACGCCATTTTTCACAGTTATTCCTGGATGTGTTTGAGAAAACCCAGATGTATGGCAGCCCTAACCTGTTGCTATTAAAGTATTAAGGGTGGCCGGTGCAATAACAGTCCACCCAGCAAGCTACATTCATTCCTCTTTGCAATGATTAAGGGTTCAGGAGCCCTACAATATAGCTTTGGGGCTTTAAGAAGTTGTTGGTACACACTCCCAGTGAGATTTATTTTTTTTAAAGCCACTCCAACGTGAAACGGCCCCAGCCCAGTATACCTGAAGGAGCGTCTCCACTCCCATCATTCAGCCTGGACACTGAGGTCCAGTGCTGAGGACCTTCTGGCGGTTCCTTCACTGCGAGAAGTGAGGTTACAGGGAACCAGGCAGAGGGCCTTCTCGGTGGTGGCACCCACCCTGTGGAATGCCTTCCCATCAGATGTCAAGGAAATAAACAACTATCTGACTTTTAAGAGACACCTGGACACATTTTTTAATGTTTGATGTTTTATCGTGTTTTTAATATTCTGTTGGGAGTTGCCCAGAGTGGCTGGGGAAACCCAGCCAGATGGGCAGGGTAATAATAATAATAATAATAATAATAATAATAATAATAATAATAATAATAATACTGCCAGCTTACATTCCTTTGATGCAAAGGAGAGCACCCCAGTCTTTCTTTGTTTTTTGCTCCCAAATGTGCATTTATCACATTACTTCATGAAGTGTATTGAAAGTAGGGAAAAGAATAGCTGTATAACCCAATGACTTCTCATCCCAACAATGTTTCTTTCCTTCTTACAGTAAAGAAAACAATTCAGCATCCTACCTTTTATGGTTCACGGTGCCGCCTGAGACTGAAGAGTTTATGAAGTCTAGAATGAGTGAAGGCTTTGTGATGAATATTTTAAGGCAAAATATTTATGACAAGGAAGAAATGGATGGGCTGAATGTACCTGATTGCACAAACATGACACTTGATCCAACTTCCCTTTCAGTAATGCGTAAGTACCTCATGCAGTGAAGAACTGTACTCTTTATTTTTTAAAGTGTCTATTTTCTAGAAAGGTTATTTAGTGAATGAACCTCTCTGTAATATTTCACTCCCTTAGCATATACCCAGGGAAGTTATCTGATTAGCACAATAACTTACACCTGCACACTGGGACTCCCTTTCCTCATGTGCCTCCTCCAACCCTAATCAGTTCTGGGGTGTCTTCCAAGCTTCTGGAGAAAATTTGAAGGTGGGGATGCAGGGAAAGGAAGACCTGTTGTGCAGGCATGCATTCTTGTGCCAATGGAACAACTTTGCTCTATGCAACCTTATATGCAGATTCTGTGAATATTCTGATTCCCTTACTGTTGTATAATTCCCAGAGTATAAAACAACAGTACAGTCACACCTTGGTTTTCGAATAGCTTAGTTCTCGAACGTTTTGGCTCCTGAACACCGCAAACCCAGAAGTGACTGTTCTGGTTTGCAAACTATTTTTGGAAGCCGAATGCCCAATGGGGCTTCCACAGCTTACGATTGGCTGCAGGAGTTTCCTGCAGCCAATCAGAAGCTGCACTTTGGTTTCCAAACATTTTGGAAGTCGAACGGATTTCCGGAACGGATTCCATTTGACTTCCAAGGTACGACTGTATTGTCATTGGTTCTACATAGTGGAGTTAAAAACCACTTGCTTAACCTGCTCAAACAAGTGCAGCCCCTAAGATTCTTTTGAGGGAAGGCATGGCTGTTTAAGTGGTATAATAGTGCTTTAAATGTACAGTGTGGATGTGGCCTTTATGTCTGATCAAATATTGCATAGATAATAACTTTATGATCTAGAAATAGGCTGTGTGTGTATGTGTTGGGTTATGTGTGTTGTGTGTGTGTGTGTGTGTGTGTGTGTGTGTGTGTGTTTGTATGTTTGGCACATATATAACAGTTGGTTATATGTTTGTATATTTGTGGATGAGTGTAAATTAGAGAAGATAAATTAGGGGAGATGTGCCAATCAGTTATTAGTTTTAGCAATGGCTTTCCTTCTTCTTTTTAAAAGTAATAATATTCTTGTTTCTAAAGAAATACAGACTGGTGAATAGTACGAGGAAGCGTGAATAGTAAGCAGACTGGTGGAGCTCCAAAATGTCATCAGAGGAAGGGTCATATATGGAAACAAGGACATCTTGTTCAAAGAACTATGGTTCATTTCCAGCATGTCTTCAGTCCTCTTACTGAAATCAAGAACTTCAGGAGAATATGACTGCATCAGTCAAGTGGATAAGATGGTGGCCCCTGGCAATGATATAGATGCCCGTTTAGAAGAACATATGAGTTTGTTGGACTGCTATCTGACCACAACCAAATCTGGTTGTTTGAAGCTTGATGAAAGGAGAGTTCCAGAACATAGACACATAAGGCTTCATTCAAGCTTGAGCTGCTCCTTAGTATCATGAACCCAAAGTTAGTAAGGGATCATTCTGAAAGCCATTTTGGTTTCTCAGATATGAAAGTCTTTCCAAGTTTCTCAGCAGACTGCGGAACTGTGCGTATTAAGATGTCCAGACTCATGTTTTATGGTGGGTGTGTTATGACACTATAAGAGTGTTTTAGTGGTGGGTATATTCTGATTTGTTAGTTGCTCTGTTATTCTTGCATCCACATTATTGCTGCCTGGAGGGGTCTATAATGTGACAAAATCTGGACAAAAAACCCCAAGCATTTGTGTGGTATGAAAAGTTACAGGATAAACTCTGGTTGGCAATGAAAGTAGTATGACCACCCCAAAACATGTGCAGGTGTAAATAGTATGGTAAGCAGGATCATGTGTGATCCAATAGCATCAGAGGCATAAATCATCATGAATGTGCAATGAAAGGGACATCTAGAGGGACACAAATAGAAACAAAAGCTCAGTTGTATAATAACATGATGGTCTAAAAGCCTTAAATGTTAAGCAACAAACGTTCTATTTTTTTAATTAACCAATTTTTTTTTATGTCGGTTGCTTCATTTTCCTCAGTACAGTATGCTTGATTCAAAACCCTGGAGTGAGAATCTGTGTGTTTAGTGAATGGACAAAGCAAACCATATTGGCCCTACAAGGATAGTTTTGTTTTCTGAAATCTGAATTCTCCTCCGTTGCATCTAATGGCAAGAAGTTGCAAACCCTGGGAGCTGACGCTGAGAAGGTCCACTCAAATTCCCACCAAACATGCTTGAGAAGTTGAAATGTATAATATCTTTAAGATATTAAGATGCAAGGAAACTCATATCAGGGAATAGTTAGTCAGATACCTTAATTTTGATAGATCATAATCAGCACTTTGAATTTTGCCTGTAAACAGGTTGGTGGTCACTGAAGCTGCTACAACATGACATGAGAGGTATATGCTTCCTATCACTGGCCTTGGTCAACAGTCTGAGTGCAATATTCTGATACAGCTGGAGTTCCTGAACACGCTTGAATGGCAAGCCCAGAGATGTAACTAAGTCTCACTGAATCCAGATCTGACATTCTGAGGAACAGAAGCAGTGGCAGATACCTGTATAGAATCACTCCAGGCATGGGGGGAGTGCACCATCCCTGGCACCATCGGGGAGGGGGTTACCATCGCGGCCGCCCCCAGACATGCACCATGCACCCCCACTGTACCGGGCGCCACACCCCCACAGGGGGCGTACCATGCCCCCAGGACGCACGTCACGCTCCCCATGGGCGACGTGCTATGCCACCGTGTCATGCGCCCCTCCCCACAGGGTGGTGTGCCACACCTCCAGGATGCGCATCACACCCCCAGGATATACACCAGCCATTCCCTTGCCTGCTCTCCGGCCCCGGTGCCGGAGCATACAGCTTTGCCACTGACTCCAGGCAACTTCTGATACCTTGGTAGCTAGTTTCAGGGCTGAATCCAGGAGTGCGCCCAAACTACAAACCTGAATCTTCAGAGGAAGTGCAACCCTATTCAAGATAGGCTGAGCCCCTCTTCTCTGATCTGCCTTATTACTGACCAGAAGCACCTCTAACCCTCCTAGATAAAGCTTCAGTTTGTTCATTCACATCCATAAGATCAGACACTGAGGACTTCACATGACACTAAATACATGTTTGTATTTACTGTGCTGGCTTTTTCAAAATGCAAATTATATCAGTGGTGTTGATAATTAATGGTATCAGAGCTTTCATGTGGGGAAGGATTTAACTCTTTCCTCCTGAGGAAAACCCCTCTTCTGGTGTCAGTAATGCTTTGGTAGGAAAAGCCCCATTAGCTCCAATGGGGGATTTCCTACCAATACAAATGTTTGCTTCAGTGGAGGGTTTTTCCTCAGAACTGCAACAGGTGGCTAAGGAGTTAAATCACTCTTCTCTACCTGCTGTATGGCGATAATTATGCTACTTGCATTTTTTTTAAATAAACCCCTACATTTTCAATGCAAAGCCATATTTAATGTCATGCATAGCTGGAGTTTGATTCAGAACTTGAACAGCTCCCTTGGATTTAGATGGAAAGAGTAGGAGATGGTCCTGGGTTGTATCCAACATAGTGTGTTTGGTGTTCTACTCATGGAACAGGGCTTACCCTTCCTCTCCTTTCCTGCCTCCCCCCAATCTGCTCCCTCTGTGGCAGATTATGAGGGTGTACAAGGAACTGTAGGGATAGAGAGCAGAATGAACCTTCATTGCGCAAGTGGGATGGCTGTGTTGGAGCCAACCCAATGAACTTCAAACCTCCAATGACCTCACCCAGAAATTTCATGTATGTGTTAAATATCATGAGGGACAAGATGGATCATAGGCAACAGGAGTTTCCCCAATATTCCTTTGAAACTACCCTTCTGAGAATGACTAGAGTCACCTTAACAGGGATATGTTCATAATTAACAAATCACAGTATTAAAGAAAATCAACAAGGAATTCTTATGAAGGGATCCCAGGAGAGGAATCAGTAGGTGTTAGTTTCTTTATTCAATAGATTTGTAGCTCATTGTTCAATGTGAATAATTTCCAGGGTGGTTTACAGTGACAGCTCAAGGCCCATCACAATCATCAGTCACCACACTGTGACATTTAAAGAGAGAAAACACCTTTTTTTATTTCTTCAAAGTTTATTTCAGATGAGGAAGTACCCCAAATTAGGAGAAGCCCAGGAGACAGACCCTCATGGGCAAGCAAACTCTTAGATAGGTTTCCATGATTCTGTGGAACTTCCTCCCAGTTAAGATTAAGCAGGGGCCCTCACCATTCAACTTCAGGAGCCTGACAAATACCTTTCTTTTTCAGCAGGCATTTTTCAGGGAGCTTTCTGTTTTTATGATTACTTTTGATTGCTTTTATCCATTGTATAAATTTTAATACGGTAATTTTTGTGTACACTACTAGATACTTAGGTAATTAAGCAGCAGATAAATATGTCAAATAAAATAAAATTTGGCTCCTTCTCTCCCGTGCATTAAAACTCTGCTGCCTCCACTGAAGCCAACCAAATCCCAGACTGACCTAAATCAGCCCAATTCCATTTGGGATCTGGGATGAGATCAGATCCAGCCTTTGAATGAACGACCATGGCAGTGGACACCAGCCACACTGACCAAAGCTTTCTTCCCTTTCCACTCATCACCTTGAGCTTTATTGCTGCTGCTGCTGCTGCTGCTGCTGCTGCTACTGCTAATGACCTACATTCACCACAACTGCCAGGTAACAATATAAAAATGCAACATGAAAACCAGGTAAAACAATTTACAATCAAAAGAGCAGAAAAAGTCCTAACCCAATATATATATATGTCTTATGAAGGCATTGATTTAGATTCTCTCCCTATTCCCTATGAATGCCTCTGGATCTGTGTGGATGTCATTATACAGTGGTACCTCAGGTTATGAAATTAATCCATTCTGGACGTCCGTTCTTAAACCAAAGCCGTTCTTAAACCGAGATGCACTTTCCCTAATGGGGCTTTCCGCTGCCGGTGCCCTTCCACCGTTCGGCTTCCATTCGTAGACCAAGGTAAAGTTTGCTAACCAGAACACTACTTCCGGTTTTGCGGAGTTTGTAAACCAAATAGTTCGTAAACAGGGCTGTTCTTAAACCGAAGTACCACTGTACTGCACTATGAAGGTCTTAAGCTCCTAATGACTACAACAGCAGTGCTTGGGTGAGAGGCTTGTTTATTGTTTTCTATTTTGTAAAATTTATACACCACTTTATTTTATTACTTTTAAAAACCTCAATTATCACTAACTACAATAATAATTAGTGAGAAATAAATTGCTAAAATAGAATTATCACTAACACAATAAACAGTAAATTTATCACAATAAAACTAACAACAATCATTTAAGATACTGGAAAAGTTAAAATAACAATAGACCAAAATTAGATTAAAATCCCACCCCAGCTTTCTAAACATCTGGGTAGGGTGGTCTGGACAAAAATGCTCTTAGCAGGTGGAAAAAGGAGTACAGTGAAGGGGTCCTTCCTGATATCAATAGACAGGGAGTTCCAAAGTGGAGGTGCTGCCATATGAAAAGATCGAGTTCTTACAAATGCAGAACAAGTATCATTTGACACCTGCAGCCATGTCAGTTCCACTGCAGTTGAGTGGGCATATATGAGGGGAGGAAATCTCATAGGTAAACTGAAGTTGTTAAGGGCTTTATATACTAATAGCAACACTTTGAACTTGGCCCAGTAGCAAATTGGCAACCAGTGCAGATCTCTGAGCGCAGGTGCTTATGCAATGCATGTGTCACCACCACCCCAAAATAACTTGAGGCGCTATAGCTGATGTAGTGGGAAATATTTATGGCAATGAAATTTTCACCATTATGCTACGAAATGTAATGTTTTCTTATCCCAAAGAGGAGAACTAATCTTTCACAACATCATCATAGTCACTGTTGTACTGGAAGCTGGAAGAGCTCACTCTTTTCGGAATAATGATGACATCTTCATAGATGGTGGTAGTGCTTGTTTTGTGTCCTTTAATGTCATTTCCTCTAATAATATGGTCAAGGGTAGCGTAGCATATTTCAGAGGCCCTGCAGAGACTTTGTCATCAGTGTTCTCCTGGGAAGAAAGACATCAACTTTAACATAAAAAATGCAGCTTTCAATTGTGTGTGGAGACCGTAAATGAAATTCTTCTGCCTAATACTGTTACCAATCATTGGTAGTGCAGCTAGGAACTGGATAATCTGTCAGTTTTGGTCCCCCCCCCCCAGTTTATCATTTTATCTATCTTAACTTCAGTTTTCCAAGTTTCCACACTTAGTCATGTTTGTTTGTTTTTAATGCAAAATAATTTGGCTTGGCCCTCCCTTGAAGAGTTTACTTCCCTACCCCAGTCACAAAATTGTTTGGGGGGGTGCCATCAATTATTTACTTCCAACTTCATTTAGCCACTATTTTTGAGATATTATTGGACTCCCAGCAACTGTATACATGACCAGTAGCCAGGGCTGACTGGAGTTGGAGTTCTGTAATATCTGGAGTCCCTGTAAGTATTTAACTCCATACTTCAGTATCATGGATTTCAGCAGCGCTCTGTCACAAATATATTTTGTTGGTTTCTGCTTGGTATTCACCTGAGCATAATGAGATATGAGTCTCCCAGAATAACTCAGCCATTCCTATAACAAAAAATTCTCTCAGTGGTTACCTCTGCTGAACATTGTCAATTTTCCCAGTTCGTATGAGGCCATCAAGTTCACACAGAATTTATGACTCATCCTTATGCAAAACCCAAACTTCTCTTTACACTCCTTGGCCTTAGAGCATGACACCAGAATAGGAACCAAATGGGACAAGGGAGTTCAGAACGCAAGTAAATAAATAATCCCTTGTTAGTGTAACACAATTATGCTCTAGCACAGTGTTTCCCAACCGGTGTTCCGCGGCACACTAGTGTGCCGCGAGACGTTGCCTGGTGTGCCGCGAGATGTTGCCTGGAGGGAGGCGGGCGAGTCGGGCGGCGAGAGGCGGGGCGGCGGGCAGCTCGTAGAGGAAGCGCGACGCCCCGGGAGCAGCCATGGCCCCCCGACCCCGACTGCCACTCTCCGCGCCCTCCGCGCCCCGGGCCAGGCCATAGGAGAGCCGGGCGCCGACGACGGAGGAGGCCGGCCGCGGGAAAGGGGCCACTTCCCCTTTAAATGCCGCTCCGGGCGGGGGAGGGAAGCGGCCCTCCGCCGCGCCGCTCTGCGCCTGCGCCACAGGCCCCGGGGAAGAGCGCTTCGCAGCACTCGCGGGCCAGGCGGAGCCACCTCGAGCGCCACCCAAGCGGGCGTCTCTATAGCGACGGACCCGCCCTTTCCGCTGCCCTCCCGCGCTGCTCTGGCTCCGCCTAGCGGCCCGAGGAGGAGCCGCGCAGCCTGTCGCTGCCGCCCCCGCGGAGCCTGAGGCGAAACGCGCAGGGGCCGCCGCCACGCCGAAGCCTCCCTTCCGGGGTCCCCTCGGGGCCATTGGGCGGGGCTGTCGCCTCCTGGACGCCGCAGCCCCGAGCTCGTGGATGTAAACCGAGAGATGGACTTGCTTGGGAGGAAGTTCCGTTGTACCAGCGGGAGTTATTTCCTAGTAAATATGAAACACTTGGGGATATTAGGTTGAGACTGAGGGGAGCGTGGCTGGTAGCCCGAAACATCCGGAGGGCGCAGGGCTGGCGAAGGCTGGGGGAGCACGAGACTTTGACAGTCTTTTCAGTATGTTACAACATAAAACTGCTGGAGCAAGTTAACATATTTTGTTACCTTGTGCATTAAAAGGACCGTATGTAAGAATATAAGTGGGTTTGCTTCGTTCCATAGGATTCACACCTCAGAGTGCAATGGCAGGCAGATCTTAGAGCTAGCTTCTGTCTATGTATCTGAAACCTGTTCTGCCCCCTCCCCCACACTTGGTGCCATTTTCATCTACACATGCAGCAGAGTAAGTTGACCCAGAATAGTACCAATTCAGATGGCCGATGGGAGAATGACAGTGCTGAATGCTTTCCCATGTAGAACAGTCCCTGCAAATAAAAACCTAGCATATTTGGAAGAGGGATGCTAGCCTAACCATTACCTTCTATGCTGTTACTATTTTTTTATTTTTTTTTACATAAGTAAAAAGTGACCTTTCCCCATCTGGCATGGTGGTGTGCCTCGAGATTTTTTTCATGAAACAAGTGTGCCTTTGCCCAAAAAAGGTTGGGAAACACTGCTCTAGCAGGGCCTCTTTCTCATTTATCAGCTTGACCTTAGGTATTACAAATATCTGTCAGTTCTCATATATGACTGAAAAGATATTGAAGCAACATTTTGTAATCCTAAAGAATTTGTTACCTTTTAAAAAATATGATATTTATTTATTTAACTCATGCATTTAAATCTTGCCTTCTAGGGTAAACACCAAAAGAGGCAGCTTTTAGCAATTAATAAGTACAATACGGCCTGACCTGTGCTATATGTTTAAAGCAGTATTGCTCCACTTTAAACAATCATGTCTTCCGCCAAGGCATCCTGTAGTTCATTAAGGGGTAATTAAGAGTTGCTAGGAGACCCCCTTCCCTTTACAAAGCTACAATACCCAGGTTTCCTGTGAAGAGGTGTTTGCTTACTAGGAACATAAAATGGGAAGGGAAATACAGTATTTTTCGCGCCATAAGATGCACCTGACCATAAGACACACCTAGTTTTTAGAGGAAAACAAGAAAAAAAAATATTCTGAATGAAACAGTGGATGTATGATTTTTGTAGTTCATGCTGTGGCCACAGACATGTGATCTGACAGTGAGTTTGGGGTAGCCCGATGCAAAAATCCTGAGGATCCATGTGGATCCGTGTTTTGTAACCATGTTTTTGTGCCATTGCAACCCCACGAAACAGTGGATGTGTGGTTATTTGGTGCAAGCTGTAGCCATGAAAATGCTATGTCATCTGATGGTGAATTTGGGGTGACCCAATGCAAAAATCCTGAGGATCCATGTGGATCCATGCTTTGTAACCATGCTTTTGCACCATTGCGGCTCCATGCAACAGTGGGTGCATGATTTTTTTTGGTGTAGTCTGTAGTCATGGACATGCTATGTGATCTGATGGTGAATTTGGGGTGACCCAATGCAAAAATCCTGAGGATCCATGGGCTTTTACCTCCCCCTTCCCAGGCAGCCTCCTTTATCCCTAGTGTCCCTTTTCTCCCTCCCAATCGCTTGCCGATCAGCTGCTTCCTTTCAACACTCCCTTCCCTCTTGTTTGCCTTAGCTGGAGCAGTTTTTTGCTCCTCCTTTTCTTCTAATTTCTCTCCTCATTGCTTTAGTCTTCCTGTCTCCTCTCCTTGCAAGTTCGCTGTCTTTACCTTCCCCCTCCCAGGCAGCCTCCTTTATTGCTAGCGTCCCTTATCTCCCTCCTGATCACTTGCCGATCAGCCACTTTGTTTCAACACCCACTTCCCACTTTCAAAAAAGAAAAAAGAAAAAGTATTATCTGTTTTCGCCCCTGGGCAATTTGGCTCCAGGGACCACACATTCACTCCATAAGACGCAAATACATTTCTCCTTACTTTTTAGGAGGAAAAAAGTGTGTCTTATGGAGTGAAAAATACAGTAACTATTGTCACTTTGAGCTCCTCAGAGGGAAAACAGGATATAAATATAAATAATAAACACAATCTTGAAGAGGATAGGAAAAATCTTTCAGTACCTCATCATGAACTGATGAAACGTCC